TTGCCTATAGAGGTGACTCTATCCTTTCTATTCTCCATTAACCTGCATCAAAATCTCCAAACGAATTATTTTTTAGATTTTTTGTCAAATTTGCTAGGGGGTCCCCTTCAAAATATTGAAAATCTATGGGACCCACAATATCAGCCCCTGCAATGTCCATATCTTTGTCAATATTTCCGATATTTTCCGATTTTAAAGCGGATTATCTTAAACTATTTTTTGATCTATTCTCCATTAATCTGCATCAAAATCTCCAAACGAATTATTTTTTAGATTTTTTGTCAAATTTTTTACGGGATCCCCTTCAAAATTTTGAAAAATGTACCATTTAAATGAAAGGATATACAAACTTCGGTTTTGGCCAATGTTGAATTACTCGTCTCAATTAAATTATAAATATTACCAACAGAGAGGAATACCTTTTTGGCAGAAATGGTATCTGTTTAAATTTTGTTTTATTTTGAATTTTTGAGGGTAAGTTTTTCACATATCAAGGAATTTAATAATTGCATTATGAAGAAGACGGGTATTGGAAACATCGATTTTCCTTGTAGCTGGGTGAAAGCTCAATATCTGCCATTTGGCCATTTTCATTTGGCTCCTGTTGGCCAACACTGACAAAAAATTGCCAGACAGAAGGCCCACCGGAGAGGCAGAGGGGTAGTAGCAACTTTAGCACGTGCTGTCAGCAGGAAAGACAAACGGAGGGACACACCAGATCCACATCCACACCAGACGGTGACTTGCCAAGGGGACGCAGTCTCTCTTGACTTCGCTTCGGCTCACCCCACCTGGTGCCGCCAGTAGCCCTCCCCTGGGCCGGGTTACCTTCACCTTGGCTGCAATTAATTCTGGTAACATAATCTTCACTTACAACTTTATATGACACTAAATCAGTGCAGAGTGTGGCCCAAACGAGGAGGACGGAAGGGGAGGCGGCCTTTATATTAGAGCGGAATCGGCTCGTGTGTTGTGGGCGTTGCCGGGCGGCTTACAAGCCCCAATTATGGGCTCACACACATTCGAAACTCTACGCTTTCTGACCCGAAATTTAATTAGTTCCATTTAAAGCTCAAAAGCGATCCAAAAACTAAAAGAAAATATGGGAATTCTCAGCGAACAAGCGCGAATTCTTTCCGCATATTTGCACGCCAGCCGATGATAATTATCGCTGCGAAATTCGGTCAGAGATTGACCCATGTACTCTGCATGTCGGACCCTCGAAATTCACCTGATATGTACGTCGGAACACCATGTGGAAAGATATGAGAGATCCCAGACACGCACCCGCTCTGTCCATTTCATTTTCACTAAGCCCAGCGGGGAGGCACTCGGGCAACGATAACAGATTACATTCAGATCGGATTATTACGATTACGTGATTTCTTTAATGCCTTTGTTCAGCACAATCCATGTTTATGAGCTTTACTCTTGTTGGGCGACAGTGGCCATAAGGTATCTCTCTTTTATGAATCATGAAAGTAAATATTATTGGTATAACCTATTGTAAAAGAACCACATTGTGAACTTCCGCACCTTTTCTTCTCTTGAAGAATCCATTACAGTACGTCTATTGTTTTTTTTCGTAATTTCTCTTCGGTCCCAGGTGTTAGGCATGAAATTTGGGATGAGTTCGTTTAATAAATTCCTTAAAACAGTCATTCACAGTTCTGGCGATTTCCTCAAGCCATTAGCAATTGGAAACGGTCGAAGAAGATCCACTCCCAGCTTCAGATTCAGGCCCATCGCCAGCCCCCTCGAGTGCAAGTGAAATCCGATGAAGTGCATGGAGTGCGAGGAGTGGAGGAACCACCTCATGCCGAGCGCTTAACTTTTCGACATGTTTCACATGTGATGAAGATTAAGTAGAAAATAATTACAAGCTGGGCGGCGGCGAAGCTAAAGCCACAGCTGAGTCTGACTCTCAACCCAAAGCCGAGGCTGTGTGGGCAATCGCGATCAGTTGGCGATCGGGGATAGCTCTGTGATCGGAGCCCGGCTTGGGGTAATTACATAAACGGCGATGTCAGTGCGGTGACAGGACGGCGTCAACGGAGTCTCAGGAAATCTGGAACTCTTCCTTCGGACTCCGCACGCCGATGATCCCCACCAGTCGATCATCAATCGTGCGAACTTTTTAGGGGCCCGCCCCCTCGGAGCGCGGATATCATTGCACTGCTGTCCAGTTCAGGTAACCACCTCTACCTGTTCTCGGAGACCCAGAGACCTCGCGATTGCAGAAGAAACCACGAAATAAAAGGGCCAAATCAGCGTGTAAGATGCCTGATGCCGTGGCCGGGGCTGGGGCTCTTTTCGGGCCATAAATTTTAAAGTAATTTTCTCTTAGCCCCGAATAATTTATGGGAAAATATTAAGCTGCCCCAAATACCCAAGAGTCCCGCGATCCTCTAACTACTTAAATCCCGAACAACTAACCCAAATAGAGTAATTAAATAAGAGTCCACGTCCTCGTCCGCTCATCTTTTATCTACTGGGATAATCCGGGTCTTGGCCAAGAGTCAGAAAGGAGATCACCAGGAGATTTTCGCACAGTAATTCTTGGCTATAGATATCCCGAACCGGATTGAATTATGGCTACCACTTTGAGGGCCCAGGTCACGATTATCTGCATACGCAGCCACACTACCCAGCCCTCCAAAGTACCAGCCTCCCTGCCATCCCGTGAGCCTACCAGACAGCAATAATAATTTCAAAATTGGCGCACTTAAGCGAGGATGGTGGGGCGGTAATTTGAAAGTTATTTTGTTGCCGTTGCGGTAAAATTATTGAGCAATATGCTGATCTGTAAAATCATAAATAAAAATATTTGTACTTGACCGCAGCTGCCTGGCTCTTGGGATCTGGGGATCTGTGGATCCACCTTGGCCGTGGCCAGCTTCAGCTCCATCTTCATCCGACTTTTATAACCTTTATGTTATTAGGTGAGAGAGTCGCTTTCGGGGCACAAATCGGAGCTCCGGACCCCGAATATACGGAGTTCCGGATCTCGGCACTTTCCGCCCGCGGCTTAACGATTGATAAAGTCTTTTTATTTACAAGCTGATAATGATGGTGTAGGTGCAGCTTTTGGCATTGCGACGGTTTTCATATAATTTATGGGCAATTTGCAGACGATTTTCGAGGCCCCGGCAGACGCGGCTCGGAATGTGGCTGCGGCCGGTACGTGGGGAAGGGAATTACCCTGGGAGGGATGTAGGGAGAGAGTGGAAAACGAGAAAGATCTACAAACGGAATTTATGGGAATTAAACAACCCACCAAGTGCTGTGTCCTAAAAACTTATCGTAGAGTTCATAACTGCACTGGGAAGCAGGTTTGAGTTGCAGGTTTGAGTTGCGAGCACTTGGAAACCTAAAAGTAGGGCAAAAATGTGGCAATATATTCGCTAATGGTGTTTAATGGGTCTAATGGTTCTTTGTACGGATTCTATAATGTCTACCGAATCGTTTCACAACCGTCTATCATGTTAGATTTCTGACTCTACAACCTGTTTACCATTCTAATCCCATCCGAAGACTATTTTGTAATATTGATAGCCATCTTCCAGGGGGAATGGGGTCTGTGCGGCCCATTAAAGTGTCACAACAAAACGCTGAACTCATTTTTTGATACGCCACTGGGGCAGGGACGGCAATAAAACCAGCAACTTGATGGGGAGTTTATAAGGAAAAACAGAAGACCTTAGGCACGAACTAATAACACGAATGCCTAAAAGTGTCAACTCTTCTGAGGAGAGGGGGTGGATGGCCAGAACTATGTGTAAGCCGATTATGGGACACGACTTTCGGGAACGGAACGCACATAAAAATGTCTCTCTGGCGGAGATCTACCAGAATCGTGTTAGGCGTGCTCCAATGCGAAGGAGGAGGGGACTTCTCTGGGCAGGGGACTTCTCTCTGGATCTGGTATCGATGTTTGTGTCGCCTCTGATGATCGTCATTAACATCAAATTACCACAAGTCACAGTCATGTTGACCAAAAAACGGGGAAAAAATAAAGATGAAGATGAAAATAAAACCCAAGAACTAAGAAGGGTCCAGACAGATAGTCGGCACTTAGTTGGAAAGTTATGGAGCATAAATGAAACGGAGGAACCACAACCATGGAGGCGCAGGCGCAACCACAATGTTGTGGTGGAAATTCCTTCAGTTCTGTTATTGGTTACACCTTATTGGCCATTGGGACAAATCTGTTATGACACCTGCCCGCTGGGATGCCGAAAGGTATTGATGGGTTGGGTACAGAGGTTGTGCTTTATAGAGATTATGCCTAAGAGATTCTATTATCCAAATAAGAATATTTGCCAGTTACCTTCACTCAGCCGTCACCTTGTTTATTCTACTGATTCGAGTCCCCACCTCAGTGAGATATTATCTCTGGCAGACCTGCTGAGATGATCTGCATAATTATGCTAAACACATTAAATTCATTCATAAATCTTTGCCAAACATCATTCACAATGGGAACACCCCTGTGAGAATTTTGATAATGGGATATGAGCTATTATTCATGGCCCGACGCGAGATCTCGCTCCCATTTATATTTGTCCACTGGGCCTTTGGTAGGTGATAAAGCCCAGTTGGGGTTATTTATGACTTGGCGACACTCGAGATGCTACACATAAAGAAACAGGAGGGATCTTCTAATTCACTTCAACATAATTTGAAAAAAGTGACTACCTTTTTCCTCAAGTGTGGCTTTGGGGAAGGGCTTGATCTGGTGTCTGGGGTCCAGGGAAGCACCAAAATAAAATCAATAAACCAGTCGGGGGCAGTAACAAAACCGAAACCGAAACCGAAATCGAATCAGAAATAATTTTGAAGATGCAAATTATGCAAATGAGACAGAGCGTAGTGTGAGGCCGGTCTGAAATGGAATTCACCTGCCCGGCGAAATCATATTTCTTTCTTGCCCAATCCTCAACCTGGGGCGCCAAGAGGCAGTGGGTAGTGGGCGGTGGGGGCGTGGTCCCCAAACTTACCAGTCGTCGTTGTGGAGTCTCTCGATCGGTGCAGACGCTTCCAAAACAACATTTTTTTGTTTTTATATATTTTTTTGTTTGGAAGCTGATAAGATCTGATCGCTGATTGGTTTCGTTATGTGATCACGTTTTGAGGTTATGCGGGTGTTGAATTAGCCGTCTTTCAGTTCTTTTTTTATTTTGTCTCCCTGGCTTATTGCGAAATGCTGTTAACATTTGACACACGGCACATTAATTATTTGGCTACTGATTAGCATAAATTTCAAATCACTCACTGCGCTCGCGCCCATCCCGCTCGGTTCTGGGACTCTTCTCTTTGACACACGCGCCAAAAACAAAAAATGTCTAAAAAGCAGGTAAGCTCAGGTGGCTATAGGTGGTAACGATACGGAGCGTGGCTCAAAGGCAACTGCAGCGACAAATTAAGACGGCCCTCGGTCGAGGCGGCCCTCTACTTCGCACTCACTCACTCTCGCACTTGACCGGCGTTTTAAGAAAGTTATGTTACAATTACACTGAGCGAAAGTTCAGGGCTGGTAGCACCAGCTCTTCTGGCTTAAATGTCTGTCTCTGTTGAAGGTAAAATATAGAGCAGCTGGGCTGTTCCCCTGCGTCGCTTTCGATTTGTTTTTGTCAGCTGTGAGTGTCAGGTGTCACCCAGAGGTGTGTGCTCAATTAGCTACCAACTTTTCTGCACTTCCGTTAAGCGCTTTTCACGCCCAGAGCCCGAACCGAACTTCTGGCCCGCTCGACGGTTAATTAACGAATAAAAAGCCGCCTTTTTCGTTACGGAACCAAATCTCCGAGCTCGGCTTAAGCGTCGCTTCTTCGAAGCTTCTTCGTGCTCCGTGGCTCGGTGGCTCCGTGGCTCCACGCTCCGTGCCACAATATAAAACGAAAAAGAAAATATGTTACACCAAACAGATGCGTCGCAGTCCCAGTCGCTGTCGGTGGCTCTGCCAGCGTCGACGTCAGCGCACATTGGGGCCAGTGGGGACATAAAACAGGTGTAAAAAAAACTGATATGAATGAGCGACATATGAAGAAGCGTACGACAGATCGAGATAGCCCGCCTCGGCCCGGGTTTTATGGGTCTTTGGGGTGTGGACACAATTAGATGTTCGTAAAAAGTGGGCATTGAGATTTTGGCTTTATGGTTTGGGCCTTTAAGCCAGGCTTTAATGGAGCAAGGGCTCAAGTATCCGGCCTTAACATATACTAATTAATGGGGATACTTATAATCCTTATGTAGTATTTTTAAGTTTATTTAAAAACCCACCCAATAATAGCAGTTTTTTAGGTATCTGCAAGTTGGCCAGGTTAATTGCAGGTGATTTGGCCTGCGTTGACGTCGCAGCTGGCGGTGCGTCGGTGGCGGTTCACTGAATTTGAGCAACTGCGGCGCTGGTGCTGCCGCTTTATTTGTTGTATTTGCCACATTTTGGAGTTGCAGCAAAAAGAGGCAACAAACAGGCAACAAGGGAGTGATCGTTGGCTCGTGCAGAGTTCATATTGCACGCAAGCTGGCAGTAAACCGGGAACTGTGTTTGTTGCACATTTATTGCTTAACGCTTTGATGCGTTGACGGTTCCTGCTTTTGGCCTCAAGTCAGCAGTATTCTGACCAACATGCGAAGCCAAGAGAAGCCTTCTTCTAGGCCATCAGTTTGACATATTGCACTTGGCTATCTGGCATGGCCCCCTTTCCCCAGCCCTTTCCCTTTCCCTCATTTGCTGCCTGTTCATTAAGCGAATCAGCCTAGCGAAGCATAAAGCCAAATTAACATAAACAACTTCTTTTCGACTCTGGCTATATGGCTTAACGCTAGGCGGTAGTCTATGGTAGATACTATTGTGCATATGGCTCAGTGCCTCATCTTCGAGGTACCATTGTCAGGAATTGTGGCGGAATTAAAGACCATTTCCCCCGCCCTTTTTCAGCCAGATCAGGAGCGGTTCGAGAGGCTCCCGATTTATGGTAAGAAAGATTCACTTTTTGGCTACAGCCCTGTTAGCCATGGCAGCGGCAAATTGCTTTTGGTACGCGTCTAATTGGAATACGAATTTCATTTGTTGGTAGCCGGGTGTTATTGTTGTCAGCCACTTGTTTTTCGTCTATACGGTTCGGGGGTTTTTCTTGTGACAGGTCATAGCATGGGTCATAAAGTAATTGACTTCCCTGCTATAGTCTCTATATGGTCATAGAGTTAATACACACCTTAGGGAACTCCCTCACACTTACATATGATGTCTTAACTAAAATTTAAAACCACTACACCATATACCCGCTTATTATGCATTTCTGTTGCGTGATTTAAAATATTTTATAAATATTTATAAATGCAAAGAGAGCAGCGTGTGCAACACTGTTAATGGGATGCCGACTTGCCAGTTACAACACCCCCACCCAGTGCAACTGGTAGTTATGGCACCCAGTCTATATTATGTTGCCATGTCATCACCCGCGGCAACATCGGCGTGGCACGCGCTCCCAGTACTCCCTCCCAGTTGTTAAAAATGTCCCGGGAACTGAGGAAGGACTACCGCACGGCGGACTTTGAGCTGCTTAGCAAGCGGATCCTGGATCACCCGATCATGAAGTCCTCCGAAAATGACCAGCAGCACATGGAGAAGTTGCGTACTCCCGAATACAGGACTAAGTGTGTGATGCGGGCTTCCCTGGATGATATTGCCTTAGGGGTGGGTACTCCAAGTTTTAGTTCATTATTCTTCTATAAAGAGAGAAACTCTTTCCAGATCAATCTCTACAAGCTACAGATGGACAGGCCACATTCACCTCTTCCTGAGGGGCCAGGAGAACCGGGACCCTCAGCCCGTTCGGCCGCCTCCGCCCGTCCTCCGTCGACGCCCTTTATCAAAGTCCTCCTCCGAAAGACCCCCATCGTGGTTCTCTTCGAGCGACGCAGCATGACTGCTCTGGTGGACAGTGAGGAGGGTCGCCAGGTACTGGAGGACAACCGAAAGTACGAGGAGCTTCTGTCCGGAGTGGACAAAACCCGTCGCACCGTGGATGCTGACACCCAAACCATGACGGTCCTTATGAAGTCCCGTCTGGTGAACACCGAACGCCTAACCACTGCCCAAATGGGGTCCTATGTGTCCAACTTTGAGATGTACGACACCTACACGGATTTGGAAAAGTCCACGACGAGTGTCCAGGTGCAGGGGGCCCAGGAGATACAGGTTACCACCTACCATGTAGGCGGGGTGGACCAGTTCGTCAAGATCAACAGCCTGCCGGCCTTTCGATTGGCTCTGATGCTCACGATGCGCATCCTGGCCAGCAATGTCTTTGAGCCGCAGCAGCGACGATACCGAAACATGGAACTGCCCGATCCCTTGGCCGAAGATGTGAAGTTCAAGTACAGACTGGGCCTACTCTGGCGCTTGAGTCCGCCGGCACCGGACACCGAGAAACACCAGGCGGTGAGCGATGTAAGCTTCTGTCCCAGCAATGGCGATATTATGGCTGTGGCCTACGGAGTCTACAGCCACGCCAGGGTGGGCAAGCTGCCACGTTCCGGGTGGGTGTACGTCTGGAACATCAAGAACCCCGTGAACCCGGAACGATGCTTCCACTATCAGGTGCCAGTGGTTACTGTGGAGTTTTCCCCCACTCAGCCGCAGCTCCTCGCAATTGGATTGCACAATGGAAGCGTCGAGGTGAGGGACATTTCTGTCCCGGATCGACCCCCGCTGTCGATTTCGCAGCGCAAGACTTCGCCGCACTTTGAACCCGTCACCTCCATCAAGTGGATCCACTTTGAGGGTGATGTCGGTTACACAGATCCGAACATTACGCCCTTCCTGGCCACCTCACAGGCCGGAGCTGTGACCAAGTACCGCCTGATTAACAGCCCCCACCTACTCGGTTTCGAGCACCAGCGCCTGGAGCGGGCGGAGGGAGAGCTGGAAGGGATTCCTATAGATCGCCCACCGCCAGCCGCCTCCCTGTTGGCCAACCGTCACCCACAGTGCCTTGAACTGGTCCTGGACCCAGTGCACCGGGACATTTATTACGTGCTCACCGACGAGGGCACCCTTTACAAGTTCTCGACAAACTATCCCCTCCAGCACTTGGAGCTGAGACAGGTCCATGACGGACCAGCCGCGTGCATGGAGTTTTCGCCTTGGTCGCCCAGAATGTACCTCACCTGCGGCAGTGACTGGTAAGGATTACCCATGAAAGGACTATCCCTTGAACACATATTTTCCGTAGGTGCATCCGAATTTGGCTCGCAGGAATCTTAGTACCGATTGTGACCCTGCAGCACCATCTGTCGCCGGTCCACTGCGCCCGCTGGAGCCGCACCCATTCCACCATCCTGGTCTCTCTCAGCCGCACCACCGTGGATATCTGGGATCTCAGAAACAGCACCATGAAACCCGTCTCGTCGACCTCCATCGATGCGGACATCTTTTACACCACATTTAAGTGAGTTGTAGGTTCACAGCCTGTTAAAATAATCCATTAACCTGCTTCTTCAGATTCACCCACTGTGGCCGCTCCCTGGCTGTGGGAAACGAGGCTGGCAATCTTCTGATGATGTCCTTCGAGGACATGCCCTTCCCACCACACTTTCAGTACAAGCAGCTGAAAAGAGCCATCTTCAAGGCCCTTTCCATGCAACCCGATCTCCGCCAGCAGGTGAAAAGCGTAGGCTACTTTGGTTATCCGGAAGGCAAAAAGGTGACCAGAGCTTAAGTATTACTATAAGACTACTGGTATTATCGTATTCCTTTTGGAAAAAAATAAACAAAACATTGAAGGTCAACTTATTTGACACATTGTGCCCTTTATTTCGTATCGGAACTAACTCTTTCTTATCAATAACCTGCATTTGAAATGCAAAACACGGTGTAAAGTAACTTCCAGTACCTTGAGCATATCATCGCCACCAAGTTCAAGCCGTAGCCGCCCGCAAAGTTTGTGGTTTGCGGTGGAAGCTATGACGACTCTGCTGACTGTTCCAGCACCTTATTGTCAGACGTTTAGTTGAAACACAGACGTTCACAATGCCTCATGTACTGCGGCAGAATATGCTGTTGCCCGTGCCGCCCTCGGTGGTCTTGCACGATCCCCGCACCCACATCCGCCACCTGCCGCCCGCCTACAGTCCCGCCCAGACACCTCTCAGCCGGGAGCGGGACTTTGCCCCGCCGGTGCGCTACCACCTGGACTCGCCACGTAAACCGAAGTTCCGGCCCTGCAAGGTCATCTTCGTGGGGGACTGCTCCGTCGGCAAAACCGCCATTGTCAATCGGTAGGTTATATCTTGAACCATAACTGAAAAACAGATCAAAGATTTCTCCTTTTTAGATTCTGTTTTGACAGATTTCAATCAAATTACAAGGCTACTATTGGGGTGGACTTTGAACTGGAAAACTTTACTATTCTGGGTCACAACTACAGTCTGGAAATGTGGGACACGGCAGGGCAGGAGCGATTTAAATGCATAGCAGGAGCTTACTACCGCAACGCAAGTGGTAAGTGAAGTAGCACGGTTTTTTAAGATTCTTGATACTGAATAATATCTGCTTTCAGTGGTCGTAGTAACCTATGATATGACCAAGAGGGACACCCTTGAATCGGCCAAGAAGTGGCTCTCCAGCGCTCTCAACTATAATGTTAACCAAAAACCCTTGGTTTTTCTAGTGGGCACAAAAGCAGATCTCTTGGTAAGTTGTCTAATACCTAAACCAGCTATGAATTTAAAATTAAACCATCTAAATAGTCCAAGGAGGAGTTCATGAGAATGGAGCGTCTTGCTGGAGTGGCAGCTGCCGAGCTTCAGGCGGAATATTGGTCCGTATCGGCCCGGTCTGGATACAAAATAACGGAACTTTTTCAACGGATTGCCGGAATGGCCTTTGAAGTCGCTGTTAAAAAAGAAATGGAGAATCTTAAAGATACAAAAACGGAAGAAACATCACAACCACCAGTTAAATCGCAATCTTTTGGTTGGTATAATATGAAACTTGTTTTAAAATAATTAAAAACCAAATCGTTATTTACAGATTTACGGAACTTCTTCAGTAGCCGTTTCTCGACTCAAAAAAGTGGATGCGCTTGTTAAGCGTTCTTTCCTCTAAACTTTAAGTTAATTTTATTATCACCTGAAATAAATACAATACTTAACGAACAACAAAAGATTTTTAAATTTTTAAATGAAAAAAATTACAACAATTTAAAATTTACACAGATGGTGCTGCCATATCGTTGCACTTTAAATGTCATCTTCATTTAACAGAGCGCACTGTTAAGAGTGCAAAATAGTGCTGTTAAATCCGCAATAGCGTGCTGTTAGACGCAAGAACTGTCAAATTCGGCTTCCGCTTTTTGACAACTGCCCCTCAGTTTTCCTTTTCATTTCTTTTTCTCGTAGAAATGCCACCCAAAAAGCCAACCGAGAAATCCGGTAAGGGTTTTTCATACAAAAACTGACCAAAATTAAGTGAATTGATCAGCAAATGCAACGCGAATTAAAGGGGAACCTGCTGGTGTACAAATGTGCCGTGGGAATAATGGATTTAAGACAAAAATTAGCTGAAATAGTTGACCATGTTTGAGCCACGTGCGTCTGGATACCGAAATGTGTGAATGAGCTGGCCAGCATAATTAAACAATAGTGGAATGTTAATAAAAGTGATTTTAAGGGAGAAATACCTAGCTGGAAGTGATAAAGCATTGCTGATCATTCGACCTAACCTAACTTTGATATTGCCATGTTTACTAAAGTGAATTTTGTTCTGATCTGCTGTTTACAGCCAAGCCTGGCGACAAGAAGCCAGAGCAGAAGAAGGCTGCCGCCGCGGCTCCCGCTGCCGGCAAGAAGGAGGCTCCCGCCGCTGCCAAGCCTGCGGCTGCTGCCCCCAAGAAGGCTGCTCCTGCCAAGAAGCCAGCCGCTGCCGCCAAGAAGCCCGCTGCTGCTGCCGGAGCTGCCAAGAAGCCCGCGGTGAAGAAGACTGTGGCTACCAAGGCCAAGGCTGCTAAGGATGCCAAGAAGAAGATCGCTGCCGGCAAGAAGCCCCAGTCGGTCCTCGCCAAGCTGTCCGCCAAGGCCCGTGCGGCCGCCAAGGCCAAGAAGGGCGTCAAGCCCGGCGCTAAGCCCACCAAGGGAACCGCCAAGGCCAAGGCTGTGGCTCTGCTGAACGCCAAGAAGGTCCAGAAGAAGGTACTCAACACTGACCCCTTATTTATTTATTTTTGCTAATATGTTTAGTTTTTTCACAGATCATCAAGGGCGCTTTCGGTACCCGCACCCGCAAGGTTCGCACCAACGTGCACTTCCGTCGGCCCACAACCCTGAAGCTGCCCAGGAACCCCAAGTACCCCAGGAAGTCTGTGCCCACCAGGAACCGCATGGATGCCTACAACATCATCAAGTACCCGCTTACCACTGAGGCGGCCATGAAGAAGATTGAGGACAACAACACCCTGGTCTTCCTGACTCACCTGCGCGCCAACAAGAACCACGTGCGTGCCGCTGTCCGCAAGCTGTACGACATCAAGGTGGCTAAGGTCAATGTGCTGATCCGCCCCGATGGTCAGAAGAAGGCCTATGTCCGCCTGGCGCGCGACTACGATGCCCTGGACATTGCCAACAAGATCGGCATCATATAAGCGGTGACAGTGATGTATGGAATGTGCGTCGCGTTCTGCATCTTCTATGTAGAAATTTTTTCTATAAACAAAGTAATTGCTAAGCTGACACGTTAGAGCGAGGATGAACGTTTCAAAGTTGTCTGGGTATAATAAAAACCACTCAAAAACTAAGCGATAAGTATTTGATTTTGGGTGGGTTTTATTTTACTTTTATTTCAGATTTAAATTTTATATTTTCTTCAGAAAAAGGTGAGTTAAATACAAGAAAATTAATCAACTTTAAAACTAATATTTCTTTCTTTCAGATCTTAACACTTGCGACATTGATTGGAAGTTTAAACTCACAGGAAATCAAGGTAATTAAAAAATATTTGATTTTTTTTAATAGAATTCTTCATCTGATGATATATTTATGAAGGAATCTCATTGAGCTTCAGTCATTCGTTGCTTTGAAATTAACTTAATCTCCCACTGATTTTAAATCATCCAAATTTTTTGGTTTTATTTAAAATAAGATTTTCTAATCTATGTTTCTTAATCTTTTCAGAGTTTCTAAAAATCGTGACCAATTCAAAGTAACTTCCCAAAAGGTGTGTATAACTTTATTTAAATTTTTAATATTCTAGCTTTCTTTATGATGATTTTTTTAGAAGGAATCTCATTGAGCTTCAGTCATTCGTTGCTTTGAAATCAATTTTATCTCCCACTGATATTTATTTCAACTAAAAAGTTGATTTTTTTTATAAAATGAAACTAATTGTATCTTCTTTTATTACAGGTTATGCCATGGTGTCTATCAATATTCTTGTTTAAAACATATTAAACAATTTTTTATAAATAAAGAATTACAAATAAATATAAAACTTTTATTACTTATAACTCGAAACATTTAATATCTACGGAATTGTTTTCTAAACTTATCATAATGATAATCATCAGTCGCCCGCTTGACACCATTGGGATTGGTTTGGTGCTGCGCTGACTTGTTACCCTCTTTGTCCTCCCGCTTGCGTCTCTTCTGCTCGCTGTTGTCCTCGATGTTGACTGGAAATAATTTGAGATTAAAGGATATCGGAAGATCGTATTTGGATTCGACATACATCTATTGTGTTGCATAAAGTTTACAGCCATATTTGTGGGCACAAACTGGGATGGTCCGTCCTTTTTGTTCTTGGCATCCTGCAGTAGCTTCTGTTTGGCGTCCTCGGTGGCCTCGATGTTTCGTATCTTGGCCTGGATGCCCAGGTCCACCTCGGGTATACCGTTAAGCATCTGGTTGGACAACATCTCTTCGGATCGGTGAGAAGACGATTGCCTCAGATGGTCTGGCAGAGCATAGAGGGCTGCGTCCTCCGGCGTTAGGTACTTGTTTACATCATCATCTTCCGCCGCTGAAGCGTCAGTGCCTCCTCTCTTGCGCTTCTGCAGCTCCTGCTCAATGTACTTCATCATCTCCTCGTCTTCGTCGCGCTTGTTTGTCTCCGCCGAGAACTGGGTTCCAATTCCGACGTCATAGGCATCGTCCGCCTCCTTCATCTTGCCTGATTTCAACTGTTGCATGTTGACCAGACCTCCGGTCTTCACGTTGAAGGGATCCTTGATGGCCAGCTCCTCCTCGGGGGCCATTTTCTTTCCCAGCGCGAGCCCCACCAGGCTAACGCCATTGGGCCGCTGTCGCAGTCGCTGGCGTTCTTTGATCTCTTCGAGAGTTATCCTAAAAAATGGGATTTTATAAATATTGCATTGTTTATATTTTGGATAGCTTACTGTTCCTCCTTTTCCCCATCGTCCGAGTTTTTCCGCTGCCTGAGGTTTTTGCGGGAGGATTTTTTGAACACAACTTTCTTGGTGTCGTCGGCTTTGGCTTCTTCGGAGTCGCTCATATTTATGTTATTCTAATTTTTGAATAAATAATGAAATAAATAAATGTTTGTTTGGCAGGAACTCTTATCGTTATCGTTATCGAACACAGTGTTGAACAGGATTGCAAAAATGAGCAAGAAACAGAAAAAACAATGTATATTGTATGAAATTCGTATTTTAATACACAATATCATTAACTGAAGAATAAAATCAATACATTTTAAACGTTTTGTTTTATGTAAACTACTTATATATTAAAAAAATCAGTTTTATTGATACCAGTGGCAACTCCGCCAACTGCATCGATTTCTGCATCTTCCCATCACTATAAAGAAGCGGCATTCTTTTGCAGCAGGAATTTCGCACACTAGGAAATTTTTGGGGAAACTATTTAGGATATAAGTTTCTTGCGCTTTACCAACGGCGCTGCAGGAGCTAGAGCCAAGGTAAGAAGAGCTACAGGCAACGCATGGCTATCAGTCAGTGCCAACTCTGCCCAACAATCGATTTTAACTTGTGAAATTGCAGCGTTGGAAAAGGGGAGATATCAAGTGACCCCAAAGAGGCGTTAATGGACTAACTGGGATCCAAGGAAATCACCAATCCCACAACATGTACAACGGGATCGGACTAAACACTCCCCGTGGCTCCGGGACCAACGGTCACGTGCAGCGTAATTGGGCATTCGTGAGGCCGGGAAAGAAGGAGAAGGATTACCGCGCCGAGGACGACACAAAAAAACTGGACGCCCAGCTTAACCGGCCGCCCAACAAGGAAATCCTCGACCACGATCGCAAGCGCAAAATCGAAGTCAAGTGCCTCGAGTATGAGGAGCTTCTCGAGAAAGAAGGGTAAGCTGTTTGCGGAAAAAAGGGGACATTGGAACGTCTGTAATTGCAATCCTTGGTTATATAATGCCGGTTCGGGTCGACTGTCTGTTGCCTCGTGCGCTGTTTATGTTGTTGTTCGCTCTGTTTACGTTGGCGCCTGGTAGCAGCTCCTCTCGGCGAATGAGAGAGTGACGGACGCACACGCGCCGAGTTGAAATGAACAGTGAACAACCCCCAGCCCACTGGTGAGCCACCCTTAAGCTCTCCGCCCACTGGCGACACATGTGAGCACTCTTCCGGTGGCCCGCACTGGGCTGCTGGTGGTGAAAAAAAGTGCATTTCAGTTGTAGAGATTATTTTGTGTGAACGACATCCGCATGTCCGGGCGGACAAAAAAATCAAGCATTTCCTAGTCAAGATTTTAGTCTAAGCTAAGCTAAGCTAAGTTTTAAAATCCCTGGAAACCTCGTAAAATATAAATAATTTTAATAACTTGTCTAAAAGGTTGGCTTGTAAACGATCGTTAAAATAAACTATTTGCTAATCGCTAATTAAATATTCACAGACGCACACCCGAGGAGATCAAGTCGCTTGTGGACTCGTTCCGGCAGAAGTTGATAGGCCAAGGCAAAACCGATCTGGCCAAGGATGAATTCGGACGCGTAGCGTAAGTACATCATGTTAATGGCTTATGTAATTTTAAAAGAAAAGCGTGCGACCATTGGACAAATCAATAAACCCTTAAACAAATCGTCGGCAAGGCCTGGTTGGAATCTCGGCCAGCACCCGACAGCTGTAGACCGCACTCATGCGCGCACACACCCACACACTCCCCCCCTGCAAGGACGGCCAATCAAAAGCACCGAGTGGTAGAGAAAAAGCTGCTGCAAAGATTTTCCGGGATGCGCTCGGCTTTCAGTCACTTCAAGTCTTCCAAAGTAAAAGCATCTCAGGAATCGTTTCGTAGAAGTTAAATTAGAAAACATACAAAAGGAAAATAAACCCAATTAGTGTCCTCTAGAACAACGGTCTAAGGCGTCCTTGATAAGGACTGCGGCGATTGCAGTCACGGCCATGGCGTTCGGGCGGAAGGACGGTTGGGTTGGCCTCTGATAGCCGCTGGAAACACGATGGAAAAATCAATACTGGCCCCATGACGATCTGGGCAATCGAAAATATAGCCACCAGCCGCCTATTCATAGAAGAAAATATATATGCATATATGATATAAACATCGGAGAGGCAGCCCTTCAAGTGTGCCAAAGGAGAGGTGGCTAAGCAATCCAAAATGCACCCACTGAAGGAAAACCTGCTCGCATCGGTGAAAGCGATGGTTGAGGCGGTGGTGGCTTATGGCCGCCCGCGAGCCACCCTTAAGTCAGCTTTGGCACACGCTGCCGTGCTGCCGTGGATTAAGGGCTCATATCGTTTCTCGTACTATTCTAGTGGTTGTTGCAAGTAGTAATAATGGAGCCCCATTAAAATGGTATCAAGGCAGCCAAAGCAAAGAGCCAAATGCAAACTTGATACCTGAGTACCAACGAACAAATGCAACAAATCACTAAATAAGTCTTCCAATCCTAGAAATTAATTAGTTTAAGAATAGTAGTCGAGTAAGCAAGTGCGCCAAGTTGCAAAAGCGGAGTATTTCGTCTTGAAATCCAATGTTTTCTACAAGTTATCCAACGTCTTCCGGAGTGATAAGAAAAAATGGAATATAATGTAAAAAAAACATCTACTATGTAGTTGAAAGTGAAAGTAAAAGAAAAAACAATCCAAAGTCTTCCAGAATCATAAAAAATATATATATTTTTATATAACTAAAACATATAAATTATCTTTTGATACACTGTCTTCCAAATGGATGGATAAACATAACTATATATTATAATCCACTGTCTTCCTTGTGGAAATTAGATAATTTTTATAAAATAACTCGGTATTCCTTTTGGAAAGTGAAAATAAAATTGAATTCATGGTCTTCCCTGATAAAAAATTTATTAAAATATAAAAAAGAATTACATATAATATTAAAAATAGTGAAAATAAAATATAACTTCGTTTAAAAATTCAATTCAAGTTGAATGACCAAAATATATTAAAAATAATCTATATAATCGCGTTTATAATCGAAATATAATCCAAAATGCTGTCCTCCGAGATCTACAGCAACACCACGATAGCCACATCCACATCAATGGCTACGGCAGCAGCTGGCTCCACAGTAGGTGCCTCGACAGTGGCCACCGCAACCACAACAACAACGACGGCAGCCACCACAGTTCAGGTGGTGAAATTGAAGCAACGCCGCAAGCGACGCAAACGCGCAGGTCACGCAGTCACCCGCACCTCCAAACTAGCAGCCCAACCCACTGCCCCCTCGAATCCTACAACCAACCCAACCAGTCCCCGTCCGCCCGCCGTCAAAGCCAAAGCCGGGAGCAGCGTGGGCAAGAAGTGCAAGGCCCCCTACTTCCAGCACGACAATAGGAAGTGCCTGACAAAGTATGAGAGCTTCCGGCTCACCGCCACCGCCCACACCCTCAACTATGCGGCCGTGGCCAGGAAGTTTAAGCCCTTGCGGCCGGCGTTGGCAAGCGGCGCCAACAAGAACAGGCGACCAGCAGTTTCCAGGAGGAATCCCAAAGACTGCGCATGCGCTTGCCAGCAAAATGACTCGGGGATTCTGGACCCGGAACCGGCATTGCCGATGATACAAGAGACCGGCCCGCCACGAACAGCTGAGCACTTAATCCAGCGTGAACTGCCGGCGGCTGGGAGGGTGTTGCTTGAGCTTCTCAAGCACTCCTCCAGCAGCCTGCTGGAAACCCTGCTGAGGTAGCCAACGCGAAATAGGATCCACGCTTTTCTTTCTCTCTCTGTTTATATTTCTTTGATTTTCTAATAATATTCGTATGCTTTGGTCTTTCAGCGCCCGTGACACACATCAGATAGCCGAGGCACAACAGCAGAAAAACGCCAAGCTGCGTGAGGCTTTCAACATTTCCGAGTACTTTGTGGAGGGCACGAGCTTCGACGTCGACCGTAAGGCAAAGGAGGACCTGGCCAAAGGCGTGGCTATCCAAAAGGCACTGGACGACCAGCGCGAAAGCCTGGCTGCGGCGGCGGCAGCCGCCCAAGCTGCGGGCAAGGACAAGGAGACGGGCAAGAGGTACGCCCTTGTGCGCACACCATCACGCGACCGTGAGGGCAGCGAGGTGGCCAAGAACAGCGACGATGAGCGCGATCATGGCTCCAAGTCCGATAAGAAGAAGCGCAAGAAGCGCGCCAGAGAGAGGTGAGTGTTGCGATATATCCCTATGAGCTATCTCGATTAAATCCCTGAACTCTTTGCCTTTCAGTTCGGCCAGTCCTGACCGCAAAAAGGAGAAAAAGAAGAAATCAAAGAAACATAAGAAAGAGAGGTAAGCCCTGGTCCGGTACCCCCATCCTCCAGCCTCCAACAATCGTAGCAATCTGTGTTTGATTTTCGTTTTGCTCCTTAAACTATAATACAGTCATGAGTTTTTAGTTTCTTCGGTTCGGTATTTCCTTATCATACCATATACATAAATACATAGTAAAATGTAAACACACATTCGCTTAGAGCGTGACAATACCAATGAAACTTGTAACTATCAATCAACTGCTTAATACATTTTGTTTTTCGTCTCTACTCCTTCTTTTACATTGCATTTGAAACCACAAAAGGGACTCATATGAGAAAGAAAGTAAAAAGAAGCGAAAAGTTATGTACAAATGACTTAAACTTAGTTTTAACCGAGCAGCCACTCGTACCACTTACCAACACCCACTATAAGAACCAATCCAATCAAGTGAATCCAACAAAACCTAAAAACACAAAAACCAAAACTGAACAAACAAATAAAACCAAATGTTTCAAATGCCTTTCTGCAATATATATATACTTTCGTTATCCTAACACTTGCAAAGACAATCTTTTATTTATGAAACCGTGTGCAGCGAGAGAGTGAGTAGAGGGTTGTATGTATCCAGTATCCTACTAGTCACACACTCCCCCAATCCCAGTACATAGAATACCCCATACATTCAACCCAAATGTAACCGAAACTGATCGATACTCTTTCCCCACAATTTGTCCATTCACATTTCTCTCAAAACTTTTGCCCGGCGGTAAGTAATAATTCGATTCTACATCATAGATTAAACCATAGAAACATCATTGCAACACACTACTATAAACCAAAAAATCCAAAAACAAGTTAAAGAACTACTACTACCTTATCAGAATCTTTAACATAACGATACGATACAATACAATACGATAAAGTTTAAGAGGTCTTTCTGTGTTTTTGCAAAAATTAAAAGCGAATTACTTTCTCATCTTTCTTTCTATTGTTATGATTACCTTCTATAATGTTAAGACAATGCAATTTGCGCAGTTTTCGATGAAGGTAAAGCACTGAACCACAAGTAAACCTATTTATACTTTTGCTGCTAAACCAGTAATTTGGAGCTCGCTCGAGCTAAGGACAGCTGAGGGCGCCTTGTCTGATCTGTGTGTTGTAGCAAGCACAAATAATAAACACGCTCTCCTCAGCCACCACGCCACATTCCCTAGGCAGGATCTATCGACACTCATCCTGGCTTCTCATTCTACTTGCAGTAAGGCGAAGAAGAAAAAGTCTCGCAAGCGTCGGCACAGCGATGGCGATCGGGACAGCGACAAGGACACTGAGGACGAGGATGCTGGCAGCAGTGACGAGGATCGTCGGGCCAAAAAGAAGGCTAAAAAGGACAAGGTATGCAAGAGCTATAACCCATAGATAGAACCATAAGCAAAAGTGAAAACCGTTGCACCCAACCTATCGGATATCCGGGGAGAATTGGGATCGGGATCGGAGCAAAATCAAAAGTCCCCCCCGGAAGTATGTGCATGTTCCATGGAGACTACACCATCCAATCTGATGCTCACATAACTTTGTAACATATGCCTATATCTATTCCTTTATATATATATTGTACGACTCATCCAATGTCTAATTACGGCCCAATCCAGTCCAAGTGGAAGTAAAGCCTCTCTCTCTATATATTAACTTATGATTCTATATATATTATTACCTGTATATGATGATAACTCGTTTGACTTATCGTTTCGTTGTTTCTATTGTTCACCAAATATTAAACATACGCCATTTCTTCTCTTGCTTATTTACTTCTTTTTCCACCAAATGAAACATTCAATAATAACGATTGACAAAATAACAAATAACCGCCAATTATAAAACCTCCTACCTCTATAAATACTATTAGTAAACAAACAAAATTATCAAAAAAAATCACCCACAAATATTGTAAAAGGTAAAAAGGCTTCAAACGCATTCACAATCTAGTTTAATATTATTATTTTCTATTTCTAATAATTTTGGTTTTTATAATTTTGAATAGTTGCTTAGAAAACGTGGTGTCTACTCACATCTAAAATTATCTCACAGATCTAAACTAAATTAAATAATTATGAGTAGCCACTTAATTTATTTGGAAACCTCCTTCAAATTCGTAACAATTTTTAGTAACACGTAGATCTCCTACCCAAATCAAAATTTAACTAAAATCTAAGTGATATCAAGAATCAAAAAGAACTTTATATTTTGTTTACAAAAACCCCTGGCGCTTCATTAATATAGGATAGCTTTCAATGGCTCTCTAGTAGTTTTGTAAGTACTTTCATTTGTTTTATTTAAGCTACCAACTGCTGCAAGAACACTCTTTCAAAATATTGTCTGAAGTGAATCGAAAACTCGTGTATAAATCCACAATGACTGATGAAAAGAATATATATTACTATACATAGTTTAGCAGACCTAGAGAGAATGCTTGCCAAGAGAAACGCCGCAAAATTTTAAGCACCAAACTCGAATCTTACGTCTTCCATTCCATATCGAATGAAATGTTTGCCATTACTGCTAACAGTTAGACTCTTAGCAAGTCCTCCTTGCTGCCTATCTGACAGTCCTGTAACACTCGACCTTCTTCTATTATGCAGAGAAAGCGCGACAAGAAGTCCAGAAAGAAGTCACACGCCCGTGCCAGCTCCTTGGATTCGGACCGCTCTATGTAAGTACTTTTCCAATCTTAAGTGTGTTACTCTTATCCTAATGAGAATGATTTTAGATCTCCGTCGCGGAAGGTGAAGAAATCCGGAAAACACCGAGAAGAAAACAACTCAAAGGCCAGCGATGCTGTCGCTCAGCAGGGCAATCCCTTCCGCAGCCGTTCTCGGGAACGGCGAAAGGACATTAAATCCAGGCCCATTGAATCATCGGTCGACAGTAGACGCCACAAGTCCCGAGACCGATCAGCGGCTACTCCACCGCGCAAAGAGCCGGAAAGCGGTCGAGAACCCTCCAAAGACAGGCATCGGTCCAAAGAAAGACAGCGCTCTAAGGAGCGGCAGAGATCAAAGGACAGGCACAGATCGAAGGAAAGACAAAGGTCTAAGGACAGGCAGCGCTCCAGAGAAAAACATAGATCCAAGGACAAGAAGCAATCTGTTGAAAAAAGGAGGGAAAAGTCCAAGGAACGACGGCGATCGAAGGAACGTGAACGAAGGCGCTCCGTAGAGAAGGAACCGGAGCGAAGGCGCTCTGTCGAAAAGGACAGTGGGCGAAGGCGCTCTATAGAAAAGGACAGTGAGCGTAGAAGGTCTGTGGAGAAGGAACGAGACCGTAAAAGAAATGTGGAGAAAGAACGTGACCGTAAGACATCCGTAGAAAAGGAACGTCGTGAACGTAGGAAATCTCCGCAAAGGGAACGTGAGCGGAAAAGATCCGTAGAGAAGGAACGTGAACGGAAAAGATCCGTAGAGAAAGAACGTGAACGAAAAAGATCCGTAGAGAAGGAACGTGACCGGAAACGATCCGTGGAGAAGGAACGTGACCGGAAAAGATCCGTAGAGAAGGAACGTGACCGGAAACGATCCGTGGAGAAGGAACGTGACCGAAAAAGATCCGTAGAGAGGGAACGCGATCGGAAAAGATCCGTAGAGAAGGAACGCGACCGGAAAAGATCTCCCGAGAAAGAACGCGATCGGAAAAGATCCCCCGAGAAGGAACGGGACCGGAAAAGATCCCCCGAGAAGGAACGCGACCGGAAAAGATCCCCCGAGAAAGAACGCGAAAAACCAAAAGCCCGTTCTCCCTCTAAAGAGCGACACCGCTCCAAGGAAATAAAGAGAAGGCGCTCCAAGGACCGCCAATCTTCCAATGAGAGAAGACGCTCCAAGGAGAGGCAACTTTCCAAAGACCGCCAAGTCAAGGATGCTCGGTCCACAAAATCCTCCAAGGATCGGAGTCCTACGAAGAAAACTGAACGCCGACAACGCTCGCGATCCAAGGAAGCTAGCAGGAAGCGAGATGATGAGCCCAAGCGATCTCGGTCGCAAGCTCATTCCCCAGAGGTGCCGCCCAAGAAAGCCGCGGCGCCTCCAGCCTTTAATCCATTTAAGGCGGCCGAGGACACGGTGAATGACATCTTGGGCACCAAGTCGGTGATGGTGGCCTTGGAGCAGACAAAGCGCCAAAGGGCAGAGTCCAGCTCCAGTTCGGACTCGGGCTCTGATTCCAGTAGCGACTCCTCTGCCTCTAGGACGCCATCTCCCAAACGCCCATCACCCAAAAAACAACGAAAGAAGAGTCATACACCCGAAACCAGGGAGATCAAGAAGGAAGCCACTCCCAAGAGGTCAAGCGTGAAGAGGGAACGTTCCGGTTCTCCCTCGAAGTCCAAGCCAAAGAGCAAGGTTGGCACTCCGAGTCCCAAGCCAGCAAGGCGCCGCTCACGATCGTCTTCCTCGGAGCTGCGCTACTCGCCGGCTGAAAGGCATCCAGAGCGCTACCAAGATATCCTAGGCCACGACAAGAAAAAGTCCCGGGATGGCCCGACAGTAAAACCAGCGCCCGTGGTCCGCCTGCGAGCGCAGAGTGACGACGGAAGCGATAACGAAAATGGTGGCGGGGTTGACGGGGTCGCTCTGGAAGAGTTCCAGCAGAGCCGGCGAGATCGGGAGGAACTGCAGGAGCTCAAGATGCTGGAGCAACTAAAGTCTGGCATTGCGGCCAAGGCCAAGCAGAAGATCAGGACAATGGAAAAGGACCCCTCTGGGCGATCCGATGGCAACGAAGTAAGTGGCAGCGACCAGGTGACGGCTAACAAACGTAACTCGCTAAACGAATTCCTTGTTGCTAACAACGTGACCGCTTTGATTAACCCACCACCGACCATAGCGGCTGCTCTGCCGCAGGATGTGGCACCGCGCAAGGAGCAGCCATTGCTGCCAAATCCAGAACCTCGGCCACATCCGGAACGGAATCATGTGTCTGTGGAGGAGTCGCCAATGAAGAAAAGGGACGCCAGCACACCGCCCATTTGCAAGACGCCCCTTGTGGCGGCGAATGGCGAGGCCAAGAGTCCGACAGTTCAGGGTTTCAGTCATAAGATCCACCTGCACCACCACGGCGGCAGACCTCCTCCACAGCACCACCTGCACCACCAGCAGATGCAGCCCGGCGGGAAGCGCATCTTCCACAACCGGACGCTGAATAATAATCCTAACAGTAGACATAGTACTAACCCTCATGCATGTGGTGGTGGTATCCCCCATTCGAATCCAAACAGCAATACTAACAGCAGTGGCGGCGGTGCTGGTGGCGGCGAACGCAATCCGGGAATGCTGCCCTTTCTGGCGGGCACCCCGGGCACCTACAACCGCACCACCAACCGGCTCAACCACGGTCCCCTGCTAACCGCCACCCACTACAACATCTGCAAGAATCACCAGCACAGTCTCCAGCAGCAGCAGTTGCGCGGACTGGTCTACAATCCAGCGCTGTTCGGGCACGGCGGGCCGCGCCATCCAGGCTTACTATCGCTGACCGGAGCAGGGGTAGCCGTGGGAGGGCCAGGTGCACCGCTGCTCGGACACCCACCGCGCGGTGGTCCCATCAGCTTTAACGCGGCGGCTGCGGCAGCGGCTGTGGCCGCCAATAGTATTAGCTATCACCATCACTCACATCAGCATTCGCATCAACAGAAACCGAAAATCGTTATTAAGCCCTTCAAAATTCACGATCCACAGCCCCTGGTAGCAGCACTGGCGGACAGCTCTCTGGTGGATGCCATCGTCTCCAAGGTGTCCACCGCCACTGTGGCGGCGGCCGAGAGTGCAGCACGGAGGAGCAGAAGTCGCGAGCGCCGAAGTCGGACACGCAGCCGGAGCCATAGCCGCAGTAAACGGCACCACCATCGCTCCTCCAGCCGCTCGAGATCGTAAGTCTTATTTTCACTCTTTCGAAAAGCATCTTAGTAACAATACCACATCCTTTCAGACGCTACAGCTCTTCCAGCAGTCGCAGTGGCTCGCGCAGCTCCCGCTCTCGCTCCGGCTCGCATTCATCGCGCTCCAGCTGCTCCTCGCACAGCAGCTCCGGTAGCTCCTCCTCCGGCAGTGGCTCGGCATCATCGCAGTCCGGTTCACGCTCACCCTCGATACCGAGACGACGCGGCTCGCCCAGTTTTCTAGACAGAAGACGCATAACGAGGTAGTTACCCGACGGACAACTGACTTGAATTTTTTTTTTATCTTAATTTATTTAATTTAATTTACCGATTTCTTGTTTTAATTTCTTTTCGTAGCCGTCGATCCCCGCGAAACTCCAGACGCTAGTTGGTAGCCATTATTCGTTTGATTTCCAACTTACCTCTAAGTTAAATGTAACTCTTTTTATTATTTTACAAAGTTTTCTTTTTTCCAGCAAGCTCTCAGGATATACTTCCGATTTTCACAAATAAGTTTAACCATCACAATATTATTTATTTTTGTGTGCTTTTTTTAAACTCTTATTTTTTTAACTTTAGCCAAGCCGCCAATAAATTTTGTAACCTCACCAGCAGCGTAGTGTTTTTAAGATTTTATTTTCTTGATTTTTAGCCCATTTTGTGTTGAATGATCTTTTCAGTTGGTGAGTTATATAAGTTGATGATTGGAATTCCACGCCCCAGTATATATTTTCAAAATCAATAAAAAATTATATTTTTCAGCGCACGGAAGCGACCCATTCCGTATCATCACAAGGCGGGTGGGGAAGGCGTCGAGCTGGAGGATGCCTCCAGCTGTTGCTCCAGCTGCTTCAGTCGCGCCAGCAGCCCGGCCACGCCCATATGCGCGCCCCTTCGATCCAGCCGGAGCCCCTCGATGGCAGCCTTCTGAGTGTTAACCGCGTCGCTGCGCAAAATGTGCGGCGAGCCCTGAGAGTAATCCTCCCTAAACTGGCCGTTATCCCTACTCTAAGCCTAAGATAGTTGTTATGTCGCATTGAATTTGTTTACACATTCCTCTAGTCCTAAGCCCGTCGCCGCCAACCCACATTCCCATGAATTTACTAGCGAAATTATACTACATCGTATATTCTAGTCACTATACTCGTTTGTAGGCCTTTGATCGATTATTTGCTAGTTTTAAGCTGCCTTTTAAATTAAATACATCATTTGTTGCAATCTCTAAGAGTTGGTCTTTCAAAGGTTGGCTGCCAGTTACTGGATCTGAGTTACTTTTCAGATTTTTATTTGCATTAAAAAAGTTACAATTATAAGGGTTTCAATAACAGTCAGTGAATAAGGCGCCCTACTCCGAGTAGTAATAATAGCTTATCTTAGGCGGGACCCTGCTCTTTGCAATTCGCTCGAAGCGATAAACAATGTCAAGCAGTTCGGTCCTAATCTAAATGCTAATCGGAATACTAAGCTAAGACAACATCCATTGTGGGTTGTTCAAACTTTAAAGTCCTCGTTTCCGGGAGGGGATGGAATGATTAATTCTTGGCTTTTTCGGCGGCCAGTTTCTCCTGGAATCGGCGACGCTTCTGGGCGATGTAGACGACCCAGATGAAGGAAATAATAGCCATGCTGATCGACCGGAACATGGGAGGCACGTACGCGAAGTTGAGGTACACAAACAGGGACAAGTACTGCCAGTTGGCCTTCAGAAGGGGCCAGTAAAGCTTCTCCACATTCTTGATCGCCGTCTGGGGAGACTTTCCCTGCAACAGACGGAGTAGGAGGCGTTTAGCAAAGCGGTAAAAGATGCAAGTGAAGGGAACTCACCTCGAACAGAGCCAAGAAGAACAGGGAGAGAGCCTGATAGGTCGGGGCGTAGACCAGACGCTCGGACAAGAACAGGAAGAACCGCCTGAAACGGAGGTCATGGCTGAACAATCTTTCAACGGTGGTGTAAAAGTAGTGGGGGACACTGCCCCCGAAGATCAGGCCAAACAGTCCATAGGCGAAGACGCTGTGCTGGTTCAAGGTCTTGGCACCCGCCAGTCGTTGCGAAGTTACGTTCGCCGAAGTGGCCAGGACGCATCTGCAAATGCGAAATCTCTACTAGATTAAGGTGCCGATAAGGTTTACTGTGTGTACTCACGCCGTGATGGACTTGGTTCTAACCGGATGGTTGAAGAGCTGCTCCAGATAGCTACCAAAGAGGGAGTACAGAGGCTTCGAGAGAACCATGTTGGAGGCGAAACACTTGTATGGAGAAGCACCTAAAATCTAAAGGATGCAAATAGGTCGGCAGCGGGTTAAAGTGCAAAGTGCAACTGATAACAGCAGAGACCGGTTCTCTCAGACCAGAACATTTACCTACGAAGTCCAAACGTCTTGGCAGCCTATAATCACTAACCATACAGCATATAGACAACCCATTTCATACAACGAAAATGGACGCGAAAATTTCTTGCGACAGGCCCCAGCAGGCCCCAGAGCGGATTTCTTACGCTCTCTTACGCTCATCGTTCGTTCATCTTACGCTCATTCTCGCAATAAATGTTTTCTGTTTCTCAGTCTCTAAACGGAGCGCGATGAAGAAGGTTGGCCTGCGCTTCGGTTGATCTTTGTATGTATGCGTGTCACACATTCACATACATGGGTGTATGTGTGCGTGCGATTTCGTTTCGAAGCCAGCGCACAAAATTTTGATTTTTCTTACTTTTAAGGCTTGCTACCCTAACAAAATTCGGGTATTCGTTATTTGATGAAATGACGAAAGAAATTATATTATTTTTATTTTATTTTTTTTATTATTTCAGCATACATTTTTAATTTATTTAGGAATAAGATTAAGTGTTAGTAGTAAAATGTTTTCTGTATATATATTTTTACGAATCATTAAAAATCAATATACTGAGAAAGTGTCAGAGTATATTTCGGTCGGAGTCACTTAAAGCGCCGATTGCTTTTAAGTTTTTGTTGTTCTGCAAGAGGCTTGTGCATGCCTACTCTAACGATGGAATGATTTTTAGGGGAGGGTGAAGACACGAAAACAGCTGATGGACTTGTTTACCTTTTTTGTTTACAATTTTTCAGGCACTTGTTATTATATTTTGGGTTATTGTGAGATTTAATTAAATTATTGTCGTTAATTTAATAATTTCCTTATATATATTTCCTTATATATAATAACTTTAAAAAGTAATTTAATTCTTCACCCGTCTTCACCCTCCCCTAAAAATCATTCCATCGTTAGAGTAGGCATGCACAAGCCTCTTGCAGAACAACAAAAACTTAAAAGCAAACGGCGCTTTAAGTGACTCCGACCGAAATATACTCTGACACTTTCTCAGTATATTGATTTTTAATGATTCGTAAAAATATATATACAGAAAACATTTTACTACTAACACTTAATCTTATTCCTAAATAAATTAAAAATGTATGCTGAAATAATAAAAAAATAATATACAAAATAATATAATTTCTTTCGTCATTTCATCAAATAACGAATACCCGAATTTTGTTAGGGTAGCAAGCCTTAAAAGTAAGAAAAATCAAAATTTTGTGCGCTGGCTTCGAAACGAAATCGCACGCACACATACACCCATGTATGTGAATGTGTGACACGCATACATACAAAGATCAACCGAAGCGCAGGCCAACCTTCTTCATCGCGCTCCGTTTAGAGACTGAGAAACAGAAAACATTTAATGCGAGAATGAGCGTAAGATGAACGAACGATGAGCGTAAGAGAGCGTAAGAAATCCGCTCTGGGGCCTGCTGGGGCCTGTAGCAAGAAATTTTCGCGTCCATTTTCGTTGTATGAAATGGGTTGTCTATATGCTGTATGGTTAGTGCTATAATCAACTGACTACAAATATACACCTGTAGATATGAATATTATCTTAGTTAGTTTATGCCCCAGTTGAATACGGTCTTCCTAAAAGCTGAGCACAGTTCTAAGATTATCGAACCGGTTTAGACCTGGCCACACTGCGTGTTCTATCACTTTGTATATTTAAAACTAACGAAATTAATTAAATTATCGGGGGCCTAGGGGTTTTAAAAAGATTCGATGGAGTTTCCGCCGTGCCCTCCCTCGCTGAAGTCCATTCAGCACTTCCTGAAACTGGCTCAGGAGCATGATTCGAGAGACTTCGTGATAGCCTATTGGGCGAGACTCTAGTAAGTAATCCATTGTTTATTGTCGATTGGTTGTAATTAATTATTGCTCTTCTTAAACTCTATTCAGTGCTCTCCAGGTAGGCTTAAAGGTGTCTACCCAAACGGCAGAGGAAACCAAGTTACTCCTGGGTAAATTAGAAGTGAAGAAATCTATACGCACTTTCCTTGGGGATGACTCATCCGTGTTTATTTTCTTTTTGGTGCAGCCATTATGGACTGGCTGGAGCAGGTGAAGAAGCAGTATGCGGACAATGAGGCGATAACCAACGAAGTAGCTGCCCAGGCACACATTGAGAACTATGCCCTCAAACTGTTTCTGTACGCTGACAAGCAGGACCGAGAGGAAAATTTCGGCAAGTGAGTCAATACTAAGCTTCACATGGAGCATCTTGATTCATCTGATTACTTTCCAGAAACGTTGTCAAGGCGTTCTACTCCAGTGGAGTACTATACGACATTTTGCAGACCTTTCCAGGCGAGTTGAGCGAGGAGGCTCTCCACAACCGAAAGTACGCCAAGTGGAAAGCCGCCTACATCCACAATTGCCTGAAGAACGGGGAGACGCCTATCCCTGGTCCGCTTCCCGATGATGACGAAGACGAGTTCGGTGAGGAAGGGGACAACACCAATGCATCTGCGGCTACCCCTCCAGAAGAGGCGCCAGCTTCTGATCCTGCACCGACTCCCTATCAACTGGATCCGGCGCCATCAAACATCACGCCACCCACGGCCGAGGAGATTCTCGATAATCCCAACAAATTGCCCAGTCCTCCGGTAGAGGAAGAGAAGCCAGGCGGCTTCGTGCCGTATGTGCCCACGGCTCAGCCCAATCCTGCCACAGCCGCTACCATTTACCAGCCCATCGTGCCCGTGGCCGGAGTGCAGATCACGCCGGACCAAATGATTACCGCCCAGAAGTATTGCAAGTATGCCGGCAGCGCCCTAAACTACGACGACGTGAAAACAGCCATCGAGAACCTGCAAAAGGCCCTCAAGTTGCTGAGCACTGGGTCTGAATAAGGATAATATGTGACGATGATATATTCATACCATGTGTAACCCGTGCACAGTTATAGCTTAGAGCACCCGTATAATAATCTCCCGCTAATCACGCAAATTAAAACGATATTTAGATTGACTGAGGTTGGTTAATTAATTTAAATAAGTATGAGTTGTTCAAATTTATTAAAATTGTTTCTAAAAGTCGCAATTTAGATGGTTTCGACTAGTGCCCGTTACAAAAAGGATTTGATTACATTTCTTTTGTTCTGGTCATTGTCTTTATGCCGTAGCTCTACAGTGTTTAGTTAATATCTTTTGCCATTACATACAGTATTATAGCTTGTATATGATAATTTTTGGCACCAAAGTGAAAACACGAATTTCGATTTGAATATAATGATGTGAGTGATGATTGTGGTGACCTTAATGAACGAAGATTGTGCCCCAATCGTTGTCGAGCCCAACTTAAGGTGCTAAAACAAAGCTGGATCAGTGAATGACTAAGAGTATGAGTATTTGATGGGAGCAGCGGCGTCTAATCCTGCTTGACACCATTCGCTGGCGGCTGAGTAGCCGCCGTCATTTCATCCTGCAAGCGGGCGGTCTGGTACCAGACCACCAGTCGCCCTCCCAACATGAAGGTGAACACCAGCGCCGGTCCGGAACGTTCGAAGGGATCGCTAACCATCCAATGCTGGTAGATCCCCAGCAACATTAGCACCAACAGCGTTACGTTGGCCGCATTCTTGACTTTGTCTGAAGGTATTTAAAAAATAGTTATTTATTATGGTATAGAAATCATAACCTTTACTTACGATAGGGAATCAGAGCCATGGCCAGTCCGCAGACGATCTCCAGGATGCCAACGGTGCGACGATACCATTTCGAGGGAACTTTCAATCCGAATAGGGCAGTGAGCGGGAATACTTTGGCATACTTCACGTACTCTGTGCGCTGCAATCGAGAGGGAAATTAAATATGCAGGGATATAATTAATCATTCCCAGAAGCACATATTCCGCCCCCCAGAGGCAACTGGCTAACCCAGCGGAAGGCACTGCAGGCCGTTTATTTTTAAATGAAAACAAGCTTTCGGTTTGTCAAATTCGCATATGTGTTTCGTTGGATTTCTGTGTTTTCGTTGGCATCGTCGGCCCCAAGTGTTTGTGGTAACGCGAAGGTAATTACACCATAGGGAACAACAAACAAAATAGAAATATTTCGAAATTAAAATGCCATCCCCTATGCAAAATAGAGATCGAAATTATACGAATTGAAAGTAAAATGGCGCGTAACGAATGCAATGCCAATTTCAAAACAAAAAATGATTGTAAGCGTACCTATTTATATACTATATATGGTCATATTAAAGGGTTACAATTATGATTTTTATGAATCACTTTCGCATTTGAGCGCAATCGAAACTTTTAAAATAATTTAAAGCTTAAAATATATTTTTTTTAATAAGTTCTAGGATTTTTTTCTTATTAATGATGCTCATTATTCCTCAAACTGACACATCATGTTTGTTTTGTTAGTCTAATTCGCTTATTGGAATGCAAAAAATGTTTTTTGATCATAACAAAATGTTTGGGCGTTGTTTTTTTTTAAGAAAAAGTAAACAAAAACCACAGCTGTTCTATAAATCTTTTTAGTCCATGCATTATTACATTCTGTTTATAGAAATTCAAAATATTTTCCAAAACGGGTGATTAAAAATAGTGTTTAGAGAAACTTAAGAGTGTTTATAGTTTATGCTTGATTAAGTGGAAAAACAAGCATGTGCTTTCAAATTTAAATATGTTGAATTGCATACTTATTTATTTTAAAATTTCCTAAATTTACCAATAATTTAATTTTTTTTACTAATAGGTTAAAAATAAAGAAAACATAAATTTCCACTTGGTTTTTTTCATTAATTGGTTTTATTTATTCTTGCTGCTTCGACTAAGTCTTTGAGTATTTGGATAATGAATATATATTGCTCCTGAAATATCTTTGAAGATCATAGCGTCTCTCGACATTTGAATGTCGGCGATTGGCATTGATGGGGTTGAGTTCAATGCCCATTAGTCAGTCATATTCACGAAGAGCGTTCCGAGGTGTTTCCTAATTTATAATTTCCCATCCAAGTGCATACCCATTTACATAAGAGTTTCCACGGAAAATGAAAATAAAATTAAAGTGTGCACTTCCAGATTCGAGTGAAAAATCGATATACCGCACACATCCCACCCGGCCGCAAAGAAAACAAAGCTCGTGGAGAATGAAAAACTCCACCGTTATTGATTTTCCGAACTCACCAGGTCCTTGTAGAGATCCTTGCTGATGTGCGGCGTGAGCTTGAGGGTGCCAACGAAAATGAAGAACAGGCCCAAGAGCACGGAGAGGCTCTTCAGAACAATCGTGTTGGAGGCGGGCATCTTGGCTGAGTGGGTTTACTGTGTCCGGCGGGGCACAAGGGGTTCAGCGGGGTTGGGAGTTCACTGGGAGCTCCTATATCCTATTGAGCACCCTACAATAACACACCGGTCGCTAAATATAGACCAATCTCGCAGCTTTTTCGTGCCGACCAACAACAAATTGAAGAACACAATCCGAATGTTTCGCAAATCGGTGCGGCTACAAAACGACGGTATGTATAATTTTATGAATTTTATTCCGCGGCCAGTCCCTTCTATTTTCCTCTCTATGTCATTTTTCACTTTTCCGCTTTCAGTTTTCAGCACTCACGTTCGGAAAGAGACTGAGGCCAGTCCAATTGCAAAGTTTATTTCGGCAGCATCCCAAGCGGGCAGAAAATCAATATATGCTCACATGCTCGTCACTATAGTGAGTGGTTCCGAGCCCGAGTCCGACTGTTATGCTCGAAATTAGAGAGGAGAGCCTGGCCCACCCCGGAGAGCACGGCAGGGCGGAACGGATAGGCAGCTGGATGGACTGGCTCTGTTTGGGACTCGGCCCTTTTGGGTGGTGGTTGCTCCGAAACTGGCGCAATTAAGGCCAAAGACCCCGGCCAGCAACCCTTAAGGAGCTCCAGATAAACACTCATTAGGTGAACATGAGTTTGGTTTGCTTTCGAGGCACGCATTGTCTTAAAAACAATGTGCTTTTAAATTTTGATTTTTTATTTTAATTGGGTCATTCCATTTTTAAAGAAAATCTATAAATATTATCCATCTAAAATAATACAAATCCAGAAATGATACGAAAGTTTTAAGGGGACCCCCTAGAAAAATTAGCAAAAAATCTAAAAAATAACATGTTTGTAGGTTTGATGTAGGATGCACAAATCGTTTAAGGTACTCCGCTTTTGAATCGGAGACGTATTGGCAAAGATATGGACATCGCAGGGGCTGATATTGTGGGTCCCATAGATTTTCAATATTTTGAATATATACCCCCTAGAAAATTTGACAAAAAATCTACAAAATAATTTGTTCGTAGATTTTGATGTAGATTGATGGAGAATCGATCTACAAATCGTTTAAGGTACTCCGCTCTTGAATCGGAGAAGTATTGGCAAAGATATGGACATCGCAGGGGCTGATATTGTGGGTCCCATAGATTTTCAATATTTTGAATATATACCCCCTAGAAAATTTGACAAAAAATCTACAAAATAATTTGTTCGTAGATTTTGATGTAGATTGATGGAGAATCGATCCACAAATCGTTTAAGGTACTCCGCTCTTGAATCGGAGAAGTATTGGCAAAGATATGGACATCGCAGGGGCTGATATTGTGGGTCCCATAGATTTCCCATATTTTGAAGGGGACCCCCTAGAAAATTTGACAAAAAATCTAAAAAATAATTTGTTTGTAGATTTTGATGCAGCTTGATGAAGAATCGATCCACAAATCGTTTAAGGTACTCCGCTCTTGAATCGGAGAAGTATTGGCAAAGATATGGACATCGTAGGTGGTTATATTGCCATTTCTCTTTTCCTATTGAAAAGTCACTTCAACGATTCATTAATTTTCGAAATTTATTTAAGAAAATATTTTTTTATCTACATGATTTTAAAAATCTAATGTCATAAAGTAGAGATAAAACTTTAAAGGTTGAAAATGGCCCTACCAGCCAATTGGGCCACCGGGTCCGATGCCACCGCCCACTCTGCCATGGTGGTCGTCCGGCGGTGTCTGAGGAGCATGGTACATCCTTTTGGAGTCGGCCATCCGTTGGTTATAGCTTTCTATTTGCTCCCTGAGTTGGGTATCCTCCTGCAGGGCTCGTGGCTCATCAAATTCTAGATTGGCCACCCCATCCAATCGATCAAGGTCCACCCATCCACGAAAGCGGACGCAGACGCCGTTCATGATGAAGTGCGATCGTAGATGCACCTTACCGCGTTCCCGCTCAAAGTCACACTCCTGCTCCTGTGTGTATGGGTTGTGGTTGGCGTTGAAGTAAAGCTGTAGGTTCGTGCCGGAAGCCACGAAGGAAATCTCAGCATACCCCTTCCGGCAGTCGTTGACGAATCTCATCCGACGCTCCTCGGCAGCACGTTCCCGGTAGCCCGTGTAACGAACCTCGCTCTCACGGCAAAGGCGGCGGAAGAGTTCGTCACTATCGAACTTGGAGCGCTGATCGGGCACCACGCGGGGCATCTTGAAGATGAAGCGAGGCTTTGGCTGTTCGTACATGCCCATAGCCTCATACGGCGGAAGCATTCCTGGTAAGGAACCGGCGTCTGTGAGATTCTGGTGATGGTGCATCGTCAAAGCAGGAATGTAGACTGGTCTTTGGATATTCGGATCATTCTATTTATAGTGAAGAAGTTAGGAATCAGGTAATTTCTTAGATCGAATCTACCTGTTGGATTTACCATCGCCTTCTTTTATGATCCCATTGGAAAGTGGTCATAATTTTATTTAGCAAACACCTGGAGGAGTATAATCCTAGGTCACCCAAAAGTACATTGCATGTCATAAAATGGTGGATCAGGTAATAGCTTTTATGGTTGGGAGGGATCACCCGATATGTTAAAATAAACATAAATCCCTGTTCGAAACTTTAAGGATAGGAAATGTGTTATTTTTTATAGAAATAACTCTTAAAATTACGGTAGAAATGGCAGAGCTATAAACTGAAGTTATATTTGTTATATTATATTAAAAGTAAATATTATTAATTAAGAAGTTGTTGTATGAATTTGAGTTGTGCGTGTTTAACTATGTTTTATATTTAATACTTCAATTAGTTTTGTTATCAGTTTAGTTTAAAAAAAGGAAAACAAAAAAAAACATGTTAAATTTGATGTTTTTTTTTAAATTCTAAATTTAAACTTGTTTGGCGGGAAGATTCAAGTTTTAGTGCTGCAAAATTCGAATCTAACAGTGTTGAAGAATCTTTTTTCTGTCTCACAACATCTGTTTCACAGTCAAAAAACAAATCAAGCAATTTTAAATAATAAATGAAATAAAATTAAATAATTTTAAATAATGTCACTTGTTGCATATGCTGCCAGTAGCGATGAAGAGTCCGACAATGAGGAGGAACCCTCAACCCCCGAAGTGCAAGTTATTAAGCCGCAGAGCACGGTGGAGACAGGTGGACATATCAGCGATGAAGACGACGACTTTGTTCCCCAAGAAGTCTCCTTGCAAGAGCTGAAGCCTCAGGGACGACTGATACTGGCATTACCCAAACCAAAAGTTTCCGCTACTCAGGAGATCGATGTAGAGGACCAGGTGGCACCCGCTTTTGCTCAGCTCCCCATGCCACGCACAAAGCCTGCTGTCAAAACTGTTATTGAAGAAAAAGACGACGAGTTCCTGCACAAAAAAGCCATTCCTGTTGAAGTTGAGAAACCGCCTCCTCCACCTGTCAAGCAACGCGTCAAGATCAGTATTCCGTCGTTGCGAGAATTCTCGGATGTTGACAAAGAGAGGGCTGAAAAGGCCAAGAAGGAGGGAAAACCTATGGTGCCAAAGGGTTCGGGGCTTTTGAGTATGCTACCTCAAGCCAAGTCTGAGCGTAACTTTGCCAAGAGTTCATCCACGGAAAGGCCTGCCTCATCGGCACCAACCCAGCCATCGAATAATCAAGAGAAACCGAGAGCCACAATGGCCTTTGTTCCGGATACTGTGAAACAACGAAGAGCAGCCCATAACACAGAAGGCGTAGACGGGTTAAAGTCTGGGCAGAAGAAAAATGCCGAAGGCAAGGATACTTCCAAACCTATTCAGCAAAAACTCTTGAAGCCCCTGGTGAATGCCAGCGACAGCGAGGATGATGATGACGAAGGAAATGGTGATTTCTTCTCGTTGAATAGCGAACAAAATCTTCCCGAGGTGAGCAGCAACGAAATCAGTGCTCTGGTGGCTAAAAAGGCGGCGAAGATGGTAGAAGCTGGAAACAAGTACCTAGAGGAGATAGCCGAAAAGGAAGCCGCCGAGGCCGAAGAAGCGCGATTGCAGGAGGAGCAGTTAAATCAAGCACAAAAGCGCTACCATGAGCAACAATTAAACACCGAGGCCATGGATGCACTAGTCGGCAAGAACGCCAAGAGACGTCGCAAGGAGGCGAAGGAGATGCAGATAATCGACATATCCGGAACCCAGGTCATGCCCGATAGAGACGAATGGATGAGAACAGCCTTAGCATCTTCGACTACATACCAGCCCACCGGCGTTTTGAATGACGAAGAGCCCGTGGCGGGCACGCGAAAGAAGCACCAGATTACGTACCTGGCGCACAAGGCCAAGGCCAACGAAGCCGAGCTGCAGGCCATGTGGTCGGCCAACCGGCAAACCCGCCGCGCCACCCAGAGCAAATACGGGTTTTGAGTTTCATTTTCATGTAGTCCTAATCTTATAATATATTTCTACTTTTAAACTAATCCTAATCACACTTTACTGCAACCATCCCTCCCGCTTGCCCAGCCGGCTGCCCACGTAGAAAATAGCAGTGCTAAGAAGTAGGATTAGTGGGGTAATGGTCACGTAAATCGGGATCTGCTGGGGGTACTCTAGCGTCAGGCAAATCATCACCTGCGACGTGATGGTCAGCAGTACACCGCCGATGTTCCATTTGTATAGAAGTAGGAGGTCGGTTAGGCGGTTCAAGTTGCGCCATTTACGGATGAACTTAATTATAACGTATACGATCAGGATGCAGTCGAAGAACCAGAGCGGAGTGAAGGTGACGAACCAATTCCAGGTGGTATGTGGGTCCAGGCGCAAGCACAAAAGGATGAGGAAGACCAGCACGATGAACCATGTGAAGAGAGCCCGATGTGCCAGTGTCATCTTGCAGTTTATTTAACTCTTTTCCTCATATTCCAAACATAAACAAAGACTGATTGAAAGTGCTATTTCGATAGCAGTGTTGGAAAGTAGTCACTGCGGGCACAGTGGGTGTGAGAAATATGCTTTCAACATATTAATTATACGAAAATAGATCATATATTTAACTAAAAAACAAAAAAAATAGTTTCTTAAAAGATGTGTGCTGGTTATGAAAATATATTTAATACATATTTTAGATAAATCTGTACTAAGAAACTCTGTTAACATTTACAGAGTTTATCACTGAGCTCTGTTAACCATAACAGCGTCTGACAACACTGCAGAGGAAGAACAAGACAATTGACGTGTCACAGTTCCTCTATTGGTTGGTTTTTTCTTCAAATTTATTTTCTGGTTGATTACTACATTAGGTTTGGGGACTGGGGGCTCCGTTGTAGGAAATTTTCACTTACCCTGACTTTTATACGTTGCAGTTCAGGCGAGTGCCCAAAGTAACCAACCAAGGGCGCTTAAGAAAAAAGCCGACACCCCCAGAAAAAAATAAATTGAGACACAAAACGATCGTGGATAAAGTGCCAACATGCTGACCAACTTCGAGTCGAAGTCAGCACGGGTGAAGGGCCTGTCCTTCCATCCGAAGCGTCCATGGATCCTTGTCAGCTTGCACAGTGGCGTCATCCAGCTGTGGGACTACCGCATGCACACACTCCTCGAGAAGTTCGACGAGCATGACGGACCGGTACGTGGCGTGGCCTTCCACCAGCAGATGCCCCTCTTTGTTTCCGGCGGCGATGATTACAAGATCAAGGTGTGGAACTATAAGCAGCGCAGATGCATCTTCACACTGTTAGCCCATTTGGACTACGTGCGCACGGTGGCCTTCCATCACGAGTATCCCTGGATTCTTAGCGCATCCGATGACCAGACCATTCGCATCTGGAACTGGCAGTCGCGCAACTGCATCTGCGTATTGACCGGCCACAACCACTATGTTATGTGCGCCCAGTTCCATCCCACGGAAGATCAAATTGTCTCCGCCTCGCTGGATCAAACGGTTCGCGTGTGGGACATCTCCGGCCTGCGCAAGAAGAACGTGGCTCCGGGACCGGGAGGCCTTGACGATCATCTGAAGGGTCATCCAGGTGCAACGGATCTGTTTGGCCAGGCCGACGCTGTGGTCAAGCACGTGCTCGAGGGCCACGATCGCGGAGTAAACTGGGCAAGCTTCCATCCCACCCTTCCGCTCATCGTTTCGGGCGCCGACGATCGCCTGGTTAAACTTTGGCGTATGAACGAGTACAAGGCCTGGGAGGTAGACACCTGCCGCGGCCACTACAACAACGTTTCCAGCGTGCTGTTCCACCCACGCCAAGACCTGATCCTGTCAAACGGCGAGGATCGAAGCATTCGCGTTTGGGACATGACCAAGCGTCAGTGTCTCTTCACATTCCGGCGGGACAACGAACGTTTCTGGATTCTCACGGCGCATCCTACTCTCAATCTTTTCGCAGCCGGCCACGATGGAGGTACTTTATTAATTACCCAGCTTAGATTATGAAATCCTCACTTATATTTTGTATTCCCAGGCATGGTTGTCTTCAAGCTGGAGCGAGAACGTCCCGCCTACGCCGTCCACGGAAACATTCTCTACTACGTTAAGGAGCGTTTCTTGCGTAAGCTGGACTTCACCACCACCAAGGATACAGTTGTGATGCAACTGCGTCCTGGAAAGTCGCCGGTGTACAGCATGTCGTACAATCCGGCCCTGAATGCCGTGCTCATCTGTACTCGCACCAACAACCTGGAAAACAGCACCTATGATCTCTGCCAGATTCCCAAGGACACGGAGAGCCAGAGTGAGTCGGACAGCAAGCGCAGCTCGGGCATCACAGCCATATGGGTGGCCCGCAACCGGTTTGCCGTTCTGGATCGCAACCAGCAGCTGGTGATCAAAAACTTTAAGAACGAGGTGACCAAGAAGCTGCCCACCTTTTGTGAGGAGATCTTCTATGCCGGTACCGGGATGCTGCTCATCCGGGATCCTGAGTTTGTTACCTTGTACGAGGTGCAGCGTCTCGTATCCGTCGGCAGCATTAAGTTGGCCAAGTGCCGGTATGTTGTCTGGTCCCCGGACATGTCGCTGGTGGCGCTGCTGTGCAAGCACTCGGTGACTATCTGCGACAGGAGACTGCAGTACCTCTGCACAGTGCAGGAGAACTGCCGCGTTAAGTCGGGAGCCTGGGACGAGTCTGGCGTTTTCATCTACACCACCAGCAACCACATCAAGTACGCCATTACCAACGGTGACCATGGAATCATTCGTACATTGGACTTGCCCATCTACCTGACGCGCGTTAAGGGCAACCAGGTGTTCTGCCTGGACCGCGAGTGCCGTACTCGTGTCTTGCACATCGATCCTACCGAGTACAAGTTCAAGCTGGCCCTCATCCAGCGCAAATACGACGAAGTGCTCCACATGGTGAGAAACGCCCGCTTGGTGGGGCAGAGCATCATTGCCTACTTGCAGCAGAAGGGCTATCCGGAGGTGGCCCTCCACTTCGTCAAGGACGAGAAGACCCGATTCGGACTGGCCCTGGAGTGTGGAAACATCGAGATCGCCCTGGAGGCAGCCAAGGCTCTCGATGACAAGGACTGCTGGGACCGTTTGGGTCAAAGTGCCTTGCTGCAGGGCAACCACCAGGTGGTGGAGATGTGCTACCAGCGCACCAAGAACTTTGACAAGCTCAGCTTCCTCTATCTGATTACCGGCAACTTGGAGAAACTGAAGAAAATGAACAAGATCGCAGAGATCCGCAAGGACGTATCGGCCCAGTACCAGGGCGCCTTGCTCCTGGGAGATGTCAAGGAGCGAGTCAACATTCTGAAGAACTGCGGGCAACTGTCTTTGGCATATCTGACCGCCTCCACCCATGGTTTTGAGGATCTGACCGAATCTCTGGGCGAAGCCATTACGTCGCAGGGTAACGCCCTTCCCGAAATCAATCCCAACGCCCAGCTGCTCCAGCCACCGGTACCCATTCAGCAACTGGAGACCAACTGGCCGCTGCTCTCAGTGTCCAAGGGATTCTTCGAGGGCGCCATGGTCACCCGGGCTGGCACCAGTGCAACGGCCCGTCAAGCGCTCAACATCAACGCCGACGCGGTGCTGGACGATCCTAGCGGTGGTGGTGATGGCTGGGGAGCAGATGCCGACTTGGGTCTGGACGAGGACGGTGATGACGAGATGCACGATGCCTTGAGCAATGATGGCGATGGAGGAGCTGGTGGCGAGGACGGTGCCGGTTGGGACGTGGGCGATGATGACTTGGTGGTGCCCGAGGAGCTGGCCTCCAAGATCAAGGCTTCTGCCCTGGACAGCAATTACTATGCGGCTCCCAACAAGGGTCTCTCGCCAGCTCAGCAATGGGCCAACAACTCTCCACTTGTGCTGGATCACGTGAAGGCCGGATCCTTCGAGACTGCCTTCCGTTTGCTGCACGACCAACTGGGCGTGGTCAACTTCAAGCCCTTTAAAACCCTCTTCCTCCAGAACTACGCCTGCTCCAGAACAAGCTACACGGCTAATCCCAATCTGCAGTCCCTGAGTGGCTATCCTTTGCGCAACTTCGGGGAGACCAACTTGAAGCAGCAGCGGCCAGCTCTTGGAATCAAGCTGAACGACTTGGTGGCTCGTCTTCAGGCTGGCTATCAGTTAACAACGTCCGGAAAGTTTACTGAGGCTGTGGAGAAGTTCCACTCCATTCTTATCAGCATTCCCCTGCTGGTCGTGGAGACTAAACTGGACACGGCGGAAGCCCAGCAGCTACTGCGGATCTGTGCGGAGTACATAGTGGGTCTGAAGATGGAGACCGTGCGCAAGGGCATGCCCAAGGCGACGCTCGAGGAGCAGAAGCGACTGTGCGAGATGGCCGCCTACTTCACCCACTGCAAGCTGCAGCCCGTGCACCAAATCCTGACCCTGCGCACCGCTCTGAACATGTTCTTCAAGCTGAAGAACTACAAGACAGCAGCATCGTTCGCCCGCCGCCTCCTTGAACTAGCTCCCAGGCCGGATGTGGCCCAGCAAGTGCGCAAGATCCTGCAGGCCTGCGAGGTTAATCCCATAGATGAGCACCAGCTGCAGTACGAGGAATTTAATCCGTTCACCATCTGCGGCATCAGCTGGAAGCCACTCTACCGCGGCAAGCCGGAAGTGACGTGTCCCTTCTGCGGCTCGTCGTTCGATCCTCAGTATAAGGGCAATCTCTGCACTGTGTGCGAGGTGAGCCAGATCGGCAAGGAGAGCATCGGGCTCCGCATTTCAAACTTGCAATTCCGCTAAGCCTTCTTTTATTATGTGTTTCCACACGCCAAGCGAGACCCATCTAGAGTTAGTTTTACACAATCCCCGCTTATAAAATATGAATATAAAGTTCAGTGTATTGTATATTATAATATTATCCAAACATGATGGTCTTTTCCATGGGCGGGAGCATTTTATAAAATTATGATTTAGGTATTTGGGTATAAGAATCTTGATCGGTTGGAGATCAAAGCTGTTTAGTCAGATAAATGAATAGAGTTGGGGTTGTCCCAGCTCCATGTGTCACATCCCTTTCCAAGAGACTAGAGATGCGTCAGTACGCTTTTAGGAAAGAAAACTCAAGGATGATTAGTAATTATGTATTTCAGATAAAGATCCACGACACTAAATTGTAAGTAATACCATAAAAGCATACGTAAAGTAAGCGCATTAGAGCTAAACACTAAATCTAGGAGCATATTCATTCGAGCATCGAACGTGTCTAACGTAATCGTATTTAAATCTCGCATTGGAAAGACCGCCCCCCCGGCCAGGGGGTTGTCGGAGCATTTTTTAGTTGTCCATGAAATATTGAGTATTCGCGAATTGAGTCTCTGGCTGCTGATGGAGCGCCTCCTGCTGGAGCTGGAGTTGCTGGTGCGACGGCGCCGGGGCCGTCCACAGGTCCAACTAACGGCGCCACATGCTGGCGCCGACGCCAATGCCACCGGAGGCCACTCCCCGCCGCACAGCCTCCATCTCGTCCTGCCGATTGTCTCGGTAGGCGCGCTTGGTGTCCTCAAACTCCCTCAACCGCTGGTTGTAGCGATCAATCTGGTCGCGGAGAATCGCGTCTTCGTGCATTGCCCGCCGCTCGTCGTACTCCAGGCATCCGACGCCGTCCAAGCGCTCCAAATCGAGCCAGCCCCGGAAGCGAACGCACACGCCGTTCATAATGAAGTAGGACTTTATGTGCACTTTGCCGTGTTCCTTGTCGAAGTCGCACTCCTTGTCGTGCAGGTAGGGATTCTGGTTAGCGTTGAACACCAGCTGCAGGTTGGTGCCAGAGGCCACGAAACTGGTCTCCGTGTGGCCCTCGCGGCAGCCGTTCATGAAGCGCACCTGCCGCTCCTCGATACTCCGCTCCCTGTAGCCAGTGTACCGGATCTCACTCTCCCTGCTGAGCCTGCGGAAGAGCTCATCGCTCTCAAACTTGGACTTCTGGTCAGGCACAACGCGGGGCATCTTGAAAATGAATCGCGGCTTGGGCTGCTCATAGAGTCCAATTGTGTCGTAGGGGATCATGTTGGCGAGGGCCGCTTCATTCATCATTTTGCTGCGTGGGCTTTTGCTATCGCTGCTCTGAGTAAAGTAAACGGGTCCGTTTGCTGCACAGCCCAGTGAATGAAAGCTAATTGTCTAGATAAGAATAATAATCCGACTCTGAAAACAACGCACAATACAAATACAACAAAAAGGTTTGCGGTTTTGATATACCAACCAAAATATCGATGGAACGATTGACGATATCGATAGAATTTTTCGTTGACCAACATTGACCTTACAACACTGTCAGAGTTAGCGTTGCCAGTGTTCAAATAAATACTAGTTGGTATTAAATCTGGTATTAAATAACCGCAATGCTTAAAGCTGTTACTATTTAAAATTTTTAAAGTTTAAAAATTAAAAAATAAACATACATTTTAATATTGTTAAAGGGTTTCCGTACTTTATATAATAGACCTTGATTCTAAAAATGTAATATTTTAAAGAAAATTAACAATTTTAGATTCTTAATTAGAAACACTAATTTGATTTGTGTTTTTTTAATGCATTATCTTTAGATATAGGAAATAAAAATTGTATGCTATTCAAATACATTTTAGTTTTATAAAACAAATTATATTTAATATTATTACAAATCTTGGTTCACTTAATTTCCCTTTACCCATCTAAAGCGAGGAAAGTACATTTGAGGACTACCTTGTGCCGACTCTTCAATTAAGCCCCAGCTGCAGAGCATCTGCTGCCGTGGAGCGATTACGCATGAAATCTGGCCAGAGAGCAGGCCCCCTAAGTGCGAGCCTGCTTTCTGTGCCACCCAAATGGTCAAGTGATCCGCGGACTATGGCTCGAACGGACGCGATCGGTAATCGAATTAGGTAAACAAACACTCAATAAGGCGGGCGTACGTTGATAATGTGTGCATAAGCAAATAGGAGACGGGACACGGGGCACTGGGGCCGGGCAGGTGGGGTAGCCGTTGCGATTGCGGCGGCGATGACGGGCGAAAAGTAATGAAATTTCATTTAGGTGGTCGCCAACGGCTGCGGACCATCTGCTTGTGTGAATGCTTGATTGTTGGAGTGCCACTCGAAGTGGCGAGGGCGCACGCTACTCGCCAGGGCTTACACTCGGAAAAAATCTGGTTACTTTCTAACATATTCTTAGTGATTGCATCTGATGTTGCTGATCAGAACCTGCAATATATGGCAGTAACCATCAATAGCTTAAGTTTTACTGAAGCAACATAGGTTTTTATAAATCCAAATCTAATTTCGCTCTCTGCAGCGATCGGTATCCAGATATTATTTACTTAGTAAATTATTCCTGTTCGATTGTTTGCGTTTGCTCTGGATCTCTGGCATGAGGGCACTCGAACGTCATCGTCAGCATCGTTCATTCATGATTCGCCTTTCACAAATCCAGAGACTCAGAGGTCCAGAGACGTGTGTCTATACGGCCGAGTATCTGCCCCATTGTGCACTTTGCATCCGAACAGACAAATAAATACAAAAGGCAGTTCTGATCAGCTTAGTGAGACATCTCATTATCGCCAGGTGAGTTCTTTCGATTCGATCCCAGAATATATGTACATACATCCCGTTTCGCTTGCAGATCTCTCTGATTTTTCTCATCATCCAGAATCGGTCCAGTGTCCGGGTAATTGCTTTTTAACTCTGGCATTCAACATCCATTTTTGCAGCGCCGGGAGCCACTCAATTCGTGGGCTTTGATGCAATTTGGCTTCTGTATAAGCCTCTCTCCCGATCGGGTTGGGGTTCTGTGTGGCTCGCCATCATCATGATCACGCCATGTGTAGTTTAGTTGCAGTTTCGATTCACATCGGATTGCCTTGCCCAGGCAGCGCATCAATCATCCATCACGCATCCCGAAGACAACGACCTAGCGGACCAGGAACCAGTATTCCTGCCATGCGATTATGTCCAAGGTTCAACCGGGATGTGGATTCTGGTTGCGATGCAATCGAACTTTTCTAAAAATATGCACATTTCATAAAGCTGTCTAATGGTCTTGTAGTAATTTTTCTTATTGGCAACTAGTTTTGAAATTAAAATGATTATTGATGGGAAACTTCAATGTCTTCTAAGGATCTAAGGATCATTTGTAGGAAAGTGTAGGATATCCTTAATTAATACAAATATGTTTTAGGATGCTTGAAAGAATGCTAGCTTCCAAAATGTCCTAATAAGCTGGATATTTGGTTACAAAAAAACAATATATAAAATAATTTGGGTAAAATATTATAAATAACAGCATTACTAACTTACCTACAATTCAAATAGTAATGTTTTTATTTGGGCTTGATACAAATAAAAATATAATTAAATCAGTTTAAATTCCTAAAATCATTTGTTTTTTGTGTTATCTACTCAGTAGACTCCAAAAGATCCGAAAATTATGCTTTCTGAATTTAAAAAAATGTATGTAGGTTTATTTTAAGTATCTCTCATCATTAAGAGATGTATTTTAGTGGTTGTATTTTATTGATTTAAGTATGTACATTTACCAATATGTTTAAAATACAAGAACTAGTTAAAAAGTAACGACAAATAATTAATTTGTAGAATTTACGCAATGAATTCTTATACACTGGACTTTATAAAAGATAAGCTAATTAATCAAATGTGGCAACCAAATATTTCATTAGCATGTTAGTTTTGAACTGAATCTGATCGAAAGTATAATGTTTAGGAATACATAATGAATCTGTGACAATTAGCAATCCATTAGTATAGAACCAAACTAAATAAATGCACTTAAAGGTTAGGTACTAACGCCCCATATCGGTTTTTTAATTAATTCCATCGTTTTGTAGGGCACCTTATAGATGAAACGCTTGAATTCTAACGCCCAATATGCGGAGCGTTTGTGTAATGACCCCAACGGTGGCTCCTGCCCCGCTGGAAGCCCCAACTCCTTTCCAGTGTTTACATTAGCGCGTCACCAACGTGTTTATAATTGTTTGATTTGTGTGCGCGCACACAGTCACCGACAGTTGACTGTACAGTGGTCCCTCTCTTACAAAAAAGAAAAAAAAAACTCATGCCGACGGACTGCCCTCAACGGCCGCCATTATGAATGCGAAGCCCGCAAACCGGTTGGCGCTCCAGAGTCACTCAAGTCGAGCCGAGTGAAATGGGAACCCGCCGAGTGGAGTGACCCGGCCAGGTGAAATTCAAGCGCTCATTGTGCTAAGAGCAGCTTTCGCGTGCACAACGTTTCATCGGAGCGCAGCGGGAAAAGAATTCATCGCAAAGAATCGAAGAATCGGGAAATCGGAGAAAGAATAGAAAGGATCGTTTTCTCGTTCGTTAATGTGTGTGTGCTATGAATCCAATTGACCGCATTGCGTTGCCACTTCCATTTCCAATTCCATTTCCGTTTCCGCTTGGCTACAATCGATGAAATATACATACCTGCTGCCTTGGATGTGCTGTGATTGTGACCGCTTTGTGATTGTGCTACAATTGCTCTAAATTAAATCTGAAACGGAATAAACATACCCATACAGAAACACTAATCGATTAGACCGACTCATAGACATGTTGATTGAGCCGACTTTAAACCGTGACCTTGGCTCGCTAACTGTCGCAAATTCTGGCCTCTCGGCCGCGCACTGGAAAATGGAGCCCCATCCCCAACGCATCACATCGCTGGCCCCTCACGCCTCCAGTGGTAAGTCTTTGACATTAGGGATGTAGGACGAGGATAGGCCGACGGCGAAACTAGAGTTTAAAAAAAGTTTTTTAATATTTCGAAAGTTTTTCAATATTTTTCTGGGGGATAAACTAGATGACACACATTTTTTTTACTCAAATTCTAAAGATATTAACTTAAATAAAATATATAAATGTCTTATGGACTTGAGCTTTATAAATTAATTAATATTTCCTCGTTAGACCTTGGATAATTGTTTCCCAATCAATCAATTTCAAATCAAACGATAGGTTCCTTGGATTAATAGAACCACAAAAAGACTTCGTAAAGCTAACTAGTGCTTTTTAAATTATAAATCCATATTTACATCCATATACTCCGTACCGCCTGTTCTAATCTATACAATTATTTTTAATACACACTCTGCTGCCAATGTTATAATTGGCAGTGCGTGGCTCATTTCCTCCCATTTCTTCGGCCCGGGCTGTAGATAAAAATAAATAAAACTGGTTCTCGGTTGATGAGCGGCACAATTGATTATGAGCCCATATATATTCAGTTAGGGACTTTTTTAAAAAATATTTACCCGGCAAACAAGAAAAGTGAAACGCGCATTTAAAACGCTAATTGACAATTTGAGCGACGAGGTGCCCAAGCCGAATGATATATGGATCGTTTTTAAGCGAAAGCAAATACAATATTCTGTCGAATTAACGTAATACACAGGCCTGTTTTAGCCCTCAATTTGTATGTGTTTTAAGCCAGCTGAGTACATATTTTAATTTTCGCTTTGTGCTCGGGCTCCGCGTTTCAATTAGCTTGATAAATCTCCATTGGCAGCAGATTCGCTTGCGTGTTGGCCACCATTTTGCGTCTGCCATAGATATGTTTATATTATATGTACGGATATCGGAATGGCTATAGCAATCAGTCATTCCAGTTCAGTTCAGTCAACACAATTAACGGTTAATTTATCATAATTAACCATTGTTACAGTGGAGTGAAAAGCCACAATAACGCCTGACAATGGCCAATTATCGTTCAATTCGTATCGTTCAATTGCAGTAGCGGCGGCATCCGTGGCAGTGGCAGCAGCAGCAGCGGCGGCAGCAGCAGCGGGATCCGGATCGGGAGCTCCGACTTCATCACCCACATCTGTGCAAATACCGCCGGGCTTTGGCGGCAACTCGGGAAACAGTAGCGGCGGTGGCGGCGGGGGTGGTGTGCCTCCGCCCGGATCTGCAGCCGCGGGTAGCACCTTGAACAGCCTGATGTCGCAGCACCGGCTCCTGGAGTTCTCCCGGTTCGGTGGCCTGCGCGGTTACGACATCGCCCAACACATGCTCACCCAGCAGGGAGCTGTCTCCAAGTTGCTAGGTCAGTAAACACAAAACACCTCTTGACAGACCCTCAGATCTAGCCCGACACCTATGTATGTACATCTCACCCCTCCTCAGCCAGGGCACACATCAGATAACTAATGGGCACTTTGTTTTCGATTTGTTTGCTAATTTTAATGATAAACATGTTATTATCCCCTGAGTGTCCTCCCGAGATCCCTCCGCGTGTGTGCAGCCGTGTAATTTAGCCACTTAAAATTGCATAAACGCCTGCCTGGCCGACTGGCTGGTGGCCAAAACGCGGCTGGCTCATTAATCAAAATTCGGCTTATTTGCGGACTTGTAAGGGTCGTTGCGTGTTCCTCTGGCACTGCAGAAAAAGTATACTTTAGTTGGCGTATTTTTATTCCATAAGTTTGCTTGAATCATCAACTTACTCCAAGTTTCAGACCAATAAGGTTTCAGACCAGCTTTTTATAGTTTACTTACTAGAAACTTTCTCTCAGTGCATGTAGTGCAAGCCATATCCTTTCATTCCGATGGGGCCAGCTGATAAAGATATTAAACACTCGGGGATAAGCCAGATGGACTGTCAAAATCGCAGCTTACAGCCTCGCCAGCCATAAATCGATTGTCCCATAACTTAACCCGCCTGATGTGCTCTGGTTTTTGCAGGCTCGCTGCGACCACCGGGCTTAATTGGTGGCTCGAAGCCGAAGGTGGCCACGCCGACAGTCGTCTCCAAGATCGAGCAGTACAAGCGCGAGAATCCGACGATCTTCGCCTGGGAGATACGCGAACGCCTGATCTCCGAGGGTGAGTAGCAGCTCGATATCCGCCAACTCGGATAATTGGAGCTAATCCGGGCGGGTCTGATTGATCGCTGATTGATCGGCGGCCGCTTTCATATGCCAGTTTCCAGTAATTTCGTAATCCCGCCTCGCAGGTGTCTGTACCAATGCCACCGCTCCCTCGGTGAGCAGCATCAATCGCATCCTGCGCAACCGGGCCGCCGAGCGGGTGGCCAGCGAGTTTGCTCGCACCGCCGCCTACGGCCTGTACCCTCCGCCCCCTCACCCCTATGGCAGCTTCACCTGGCATCCGGCAGCAGCAGCCGCGGCGGCAGGTGGCCAGGGAGTGCCTCCGCCTCCGCCCCCATCCGCCCTGTGGTCTGTGGCGGCTCCCACATTGGCGAATCTGCCGCCTAGTGCCGCCAGTGCGATGCCCAATGCCTCGACTTGTGCATCTCTCAGCTCGGCGCACCTAATGGCGGGCGCGGGCTCGGTTGGAGGTGGTGCTGCCACTAATCGGGCCATTTCCCCCGGCTCAGGAAGCCACGACACTCTGGAGTCGGCTGATGAGAACAGGCACATTGATTCCGATTATCTGGACGACGACGATGAGCCCAAGTTTCGGCGGAACAGGACCACCTTCAGTCCGGAGCAGTTGGAGGAGCTGGAGAAGGAGTTCGACAAGAGTCACTATCCCTGCGTGAGCACCCGGGAGAGGCTTTCCAGTCGCACCAGCTTGAGTGAGGCGCGAGTTCAGGTGAGTTCCAGTTTTATTAAAATTATTTGTTAATAGAAATACCATTTATTAGTTCAAAATTCTCGAAAAAATTACTTATACGCAATGTGTGATTATTTTAAAACTCAAATTCCTTTCTAAATATTCCTATTTTTATACCGAATTCCATATTTTTTGTATCTTCAGGTCTGGTTCTCCAATCGCAGGGCCAAATGGCGTCGCCACCAGCGCATGAATCTCCTGAAGCGTCAGCGCTCCAGTCCCGCCAACCCGCTGCACTCCCAGCAGTCCAACGACGGCCCTCCGGCCAGTTCGCCCACGCCCAGCAACCATAGTAGCAGTGCCTCGACCTCAGCGCCTGTGGCTGCGGCTCCGCCCCCTCAGCAGCCGCTGCCCATTCTGGCAGACCACCACTCGCCCCAAGCCCCGCCTCCACCAGCGGTAATGTTGCACCCGTTGCATGGCCCTCCAGCAGGCCACCATCCCCTGCAGCATCATCCCCTGCACCTGCCCACGCACCCGGCAGCGCTGCAGCTACTGAGCCACTACCACCAGCAGCAGCAACAGCAGCAGCATCAGCAGCAGCAACTGTCGCCCACGGGCTGCAGTCCCGTGTCTATGGGCGGGGAGAGGAGTGCCTTCCGCAGCCTGGTGAGCTCCCCCTCGGCTGCCGCCTTCCTAGGCCTGGCCAGACAGTATGCCGTGGCCGCCTCCCTGACCGCCGCCGAGGAGCAACGCTCCCGACTGCACTATTCCCCTGCCGGCGGACGTGGCGAGGTGGCTGGTGAGACTGGGGGAGCGGGAGCGGGTGCTGGACTGGGATCTGGAGCTGGAGCCGGCTCAACCATGACCGTGGACAACTCGTCGTCCGACTCGGATGAGGAGATCAACGTACACGACGATTCCGATGGTGAAATTGAGTCGCCGGCTATGGCGGTGGCAGCAAAGGTGGCCCGCCTGTCATCCTCCGATGCGCCGGCTACGTTGCAGTTCCTAAAGCATGACCATCGTTAGAGAGGCTTAGATCAGTGGGCGGAGGAGGAGGCAGCAGCGGTGGCGGCGGCGGCGGCGGCGACATCTAATTGAAAACTTGAGTTGTGCGCGCGTCTGTGATTGACAGCAAAAGCAGCAGCAGCAATAGCAACATCAGAGGCAGCAACAGCGTCTGAAATTGCAACAGCAACTGGGAGGAGGAGGAGGAGGAATAGGAGGAACTGGAGGGCGGTGTTGGAGGTGCGTGTTTGGGTAGCGAAACACGAGAAGCCGACTACATTGTAGGCAAAACAAATCGAAAAACCAAAGTTAAAATGCTGCTCACCTACTTGGCTGCGGTTGGGGGTCGCTAAAAAGCAAAAGCAAAAGCACGGCTCGGCAAAAGCAAAGCAAAGGCAGCGGCTTAAGATTAGCTGAAAATGTAACTAATACTATACAATACACGCTCGTCCCATTTTTATAATGCACAGACATCCATATCTATTTAAACAAGATGTACCCGTACGGCATAATTATAATGCATATTTGTTCAGTTCAGTTCAGTTTAGTGCGCCGGCTGCCGACTTACCTCATCACCATTTAAGGCTATAGCATATGCAATATATAGATATAGAGATAGGATACTCTATCTGCAACTCTAACTTGTAACTTTTAACTTGTAGCTTGTAACTCTAGCCGTAAGACTACACTACTTATTTATGAAGAGTTTTGGTTGCGTTTGAACTGATATTTGGTAGTGGAGGACGTGTGCAGAGTGCGTAAGTGTTTAAGGCTCAAACAGAGTGAGAAATCAATAAAGAAAACAAGTGTAAGAAATCAAATACGAGCCTTTGCTTTGGGAGTTCGAACAGGAAATCGCTTCGCTTTGGTTTGACAACAAATACAATTTATTCGTTCGGTTTCTCGCAAACATACACAACACAAAAAACTCAGCCGACGAGCATAAATAAGCATTTAACACTCGAAAGGCTTCTTAAAACGTTATTAAATATTAATATAATCAATATTCATTGTGTGAGCGGGCCACAGGGTAAGCAGGGGAATAGAAACACCGAACGAAATCGAAATCAAAATCAAAATACAAAAAATACGCGCATAGAAATCGCTTAAATTTCAAACGTAATGGCCAATATGTCCAAATCTGGTAGATAACATCGACATTTTAATTATAACCAAATGAAGCCGCATCTCTGGCACAGTGGGGACAAGCTAAATGCGACCAAGGCAGAGGGCCAAGGAATCTTGGCTTGTATGGGATCTGGGGATGGGGTGCTCATTCCACTGACCGATTAAAAATGCCGAGCCAACTAAGCACATAAATCAATGTAAATTATGGTGTTAACAAAAGGCGAGCTGAGCAGGCATCAGCGGCTGGATCGGATCGGATCGGATCGTATTGGCTTGGAATGGGATCTTTGGATTGCTGGATCGTTGACTTTTTTGGACTGGTTGGCCCAAAGAGGGGGTTCTGGCCTGGTTTTAAATGAGCTGACTGGGCCTTCGCATCTGATAAGCCAGCCGGTGTGTGTTGTGTACCATAGCTCTTTCGTGTCGATACTTACAGCTTCAATCGGAATTGGGAATTGGGAGTCCCATCCAATCGCCTGGACGAGAAAACAGGGAACACTTGGCCGGAGCACCAGATCGGGTGACCACTTCAATTTGCTTGAGTTTTTATGAGCCCTTGGCTCGGCTTATTCTAATTTAGTGCGGAGCTGCTCGTGAGCATTCCTTTAATAAATTTAAATCACCTTCTATTGAAAATATTTTCACCTCGCGCCCATAAATTATACATTATACGATATTTATACAGTCTGAGCCACGGGTCTTTGGGTCATCTTCAGCAACAAAAAAAAAAGAGCCGAATATATATATTTTTCGGTTGTTTTTGTGAGTGCCTGTTTTTTGCCTCGGTTTCACGCTTATTCACTGAATCCGTTTAGGCCACGAAATTTTGACTTGACCGGCTGGGGGATTCCATCAAAATTTTTGTTACTGAAAGGAGCTAAGGGAAGTGGGGGATATATGTAGGTATGTGGGTCCAAAATTTGATGGACCAGGGCAAAGTGGCGCTCTCATGAGCGCCATATAATCGCAGTCAAACATTTTTACGATCCTGCGGCACCGACTCCTCCCCGGCCTGATCCGTTGATGAGTCTGAAAGAGTCCTGCAGACTGTCCGGGCAACAATGTTGCCCAAATCTTCGCGACCCGCCGCTGGCTCTGAGCAGTTTTTATTGTTTGGGTTGGTTGAAATCGATGAACTTTACCAAGGCTTCAAAACCTCTCAATCACTGTGAAAAATAACCAAAAACTTGAGTTTACTTGTTAGTATACAGATCAAGGTGCTTCTCCCAGTGTAGAACCACCTCCATAGCTCTCGAGGCAAGGAGCCGGTGATAAATCTGTTGGCGAGCCGGCGCAACATCGCCATTGCATACTTCTAAATGGACCATAAACGTGCGAAGTCGCAACACCAGCAATAACTAAAGTTAGTTACGTTTACTAATATGACAACAATGTTGTTCGTAAGCCCTTACCCCCTAACCCAGCCCCCGGCCATGCAAATGCGAGCGAATCAGTGCCAGGCGAGTATCTTAGTCTCAGGGCCCAGGGAACAGCCATGGAAATGGGAATGGGTGTCGTTATTCCGCCATTACGTCGTTTTTTAGCTTACAAAAACAAATACGTCAAGAAGCATGGGTCTATCCAGGGGGCTTCAAGTCCCCTCCCCGGCAATCAAACACGCAAATGCAATTAAGTCGTTGAAAAACGGGGGTGAAAGGGCTTTGAAGGATATATTCTTGGATTTCCTTTATATTGGTTGAAGCAATATATATAACAGGCTAAATTGAATAAGGAATTATATAGAGTTGTATTCTATTATCCCTTAATTGAAATATTATAAAATACTATTTGAAAATAACATATCATAAAATATTGCCTACTTCTAGGTTCTATATTTCGACAGATCCTAAGGACCTTTTATAGATTTTAAATGAAACCACTTAAATCTGTTATTAATCAATATTTACTTTCAAAATTGCACACTCACTTTCTGAAATACACAATACCCCCAAGTCGGGTCTGTGAAACATGTTTTGGATATTGAAATACGTGAGAGAGTGTCGCCATCCAGTCGACTGATTTATGCCCGAACTTAAATGGCCACAATGGCGATTCAGATGACCCGACCCGTGTACTGTGTACCAGGTCTAAGGTATACTACCCATCCCATCCCATCCCATTCTCCGGCCGTTTCGGAGGGATCGGTCCTCTGTTAATGAGCCGGGCGATTAAAAAATGTGCATTTGTGTTTGTCCGCTCCTTAAATGAGCTCGAGCTTTTAACGCGCTGCCCTAGGTTTGTTTTTTATAATTCCCCTCGCAGTCGGGGAGGGGGATCCGGAGTGATTTTGTCTCGTTGTCATCTCATTTGGAATTGGGCGATAAGACAAATTTGTTTTCTTTGTTTATAACTTTATGCAGATACAGGTTTCGGTTTCGGATGCCCTGTCCCGATCGGCATTGTTGGCTCTCCGGCCAGATTCTTCATCCTATAATGCGGTTAGGGTGTACGGAGTTCGAGTTAGTTGGAGCCAAGGGGGAATTTGAGTTGGTATATTTAATCTTTGTCGCCTCGCAAGTCGCAGGCCGCAACAAAAAAAGTGGAATTCTGAACATTGATTTGAATTTTGAATTCAAATGTCGCCGTTGTCTCTTTGGTTTTTTGGTTATTTGGGTATTTGGTTTTATTTTATTTGGCGGCAGCTGCCGCTGACATCTTCATTAACGAGGAGTGTGATCAAAAGAGTAATGAGGTGTTGATAGTGCCCGAAAGCGGAGAGGCTTTATGCATTCCCTCGGATTAATTAGGAACAATGCTGGGCCGGGCCGGTCGTTTCGTCGTCAGAAGTCGTAGCGATCTAGTATGCCCCACCGGTAATTGTGGGCCTCTTGTGTCTCCCCGGCCGATCTCTAGTCTTTGAAGTCTTTCAATTCTTTCGATTTCGATTCTACTATTCTTCGGTTGTGTTCTGTCCCCCGATTCTGAATCCGAATCTGAACCCGTATTCAACGCAGCTGCTGGGGCCTTTTGTTCTGCCTTGCCAATTTGCATATGATAAATTTGCTTCCATATTTTGTTAAATTGCTGTGCGGGTTTTCTCTTATTGGCCTGGCCAAAAGCAAAAGCATTGGCGCGTGGTAAATTGGTTGTATTGTAAAGGCATCTAATTAGTGGCCGGCTACCGAATTATGACCAATTATATTTATTGATTGATTGTGGGCTATAATCACTGGGCCCACTAACTCCCGTTGGATGCGGATTTTCGATATTCTTCGAAAACGGTTTGGCTTTTTTGCATTGTTTATAGAGATTTTTGGGGCCATCTGGAAAATAATACAATAAGAAACAAGAGGATTAATGAACTCCTCCCAGAACAATAATAATATTCTTTAAAGACCCATAGGGTTCAAATAATTTTTGGAGCTGTTGACGATTTTAAGTGAGAATCTCGAAATGTTTTGTTTTGGGTACTGGACTCGAGTTTTGGATCATAAAAACGCACTCTGGAAATAGTTACTGGCCCACTAAACAATGTCTAATTAAAGGCGGCAATCGCCGCGAGTCAGACCACTTAACCCGCGCATAAATCTCGGCCCTCTAATGGAGCCCCAAGTAACATAGTCGAAGAGGCTGCCACAATTAACCGAGACTTATGACGCTGCTGCACCTGATTAAGATGCAAGCAGCCGGTCCTCCCGATCAGGGTGCTGGGAGCTGGATACTGGGTCCATCAAACGATCTCTAAACTACGCCTATTGTCTCGCTCGAGCCTGACTACTACAAAAATGTTAAACGGCAAGCCGCTCTCTTCGGCCAAAAAGATTTATTGCCTGTCCCAAAATCACAGAAGACCCGTTGCTGCCGACCGAGAAATCGATCGATGGATCGAGGATAGCCGGATCGCATTCCGTCGAATCACGCATAAACGAAGTCACTTCGATTCCCCAACGGAATTAACGTATTAATGCGCCTACATCGCCCACTAATTGAGCCAGCGA